GCAAGTGTAGATTACACCCAGTTTGGATTCAGAGGAGGACTAGGAACGAGAGAGGCTCTGTTCGCTTTTAACGTTTTCGCGCAAAGACGACTAGATATGAACCAGGAGCTCTATGTCTACTTTATAGATTATCAAAAGGCTTTTGATAGAGTACATCAGAAACTTGTAAAACTGTTAAAAGAAAAGAATGTGAATAGTTGAGATATATGGGTCATTGTCAATCTGTACTGGAATCAAAAAGCAAAGGTTAGAATCGCTATAAAGAATCGTTAGAAAGCAAACTATAGAAATGAAAAGAGGTGTTAGACAGGGTTGCGTGCTGTCCCCATTGTTATTCAATCTGTACAGCGAAACTATTTTTAAGTAAGCAATATCATAGGAATAACAGGGTATATCAATAAACGGAAAAATCTTGAACAACATAAGATTCGCAGACGACACCGTTGTTTTTGCAGACAGTCTAGAAGCACTGCAACGCTTAGTAAATAGATTACATCAAGTCAGTATAAAATATGGACTACAAATGAACGTTAAGAAAACCAAGTGCATGATTATTTCTAAGCAACATACAGTAGGAAGGCTAGATATTGAGGGAAAACAAGTAGAAAGGGTGAATAACTACACATATCTGAGAACCTGGGTAAATACAAACAATGGCCAAGGAAGAGAAATAAGGAAACGCATTGAAATCGTAAGACAAGCATTTATAAAAATGACAACAATGTTTGTTAGTCGAGACTTTCCTTTGGAGCTGAGGATAAGAGCCTTAAGATGCTACGTGTTCTCGACTTTGTTGTATGGAATGGAAAGCTGGACACTAAAAGTCCTACTAAGTTCTACACTAAAAGTAAAGTAAAAATGTAAAGAAGTTGCAATCATTTGAGATGTGGTGCTATAGAAGGATTTTGAAAATACCATGGACCCAACGAGTTACAAATGCAAAAATGTTAAGAAGGCTACAAAAGGATTGCGAGGTCATAAAGTACATCAAAACAAGAAAGCTGGAATATTTAGGCCACATTACCAGAGGTGTGAAATATGAGATATTAAGGCTATAATGCAAGGTAAAATCAAGGATAAAAGATCCACAAGAAGACGAAAAATTTCCTGACTAAGAAACCTAAGAGAGTGGTATAGTTGCAGGTCTGTAGATATTTTCAGAGCAGCCGCACAATAAGGTACGGATAGCTGTGATGATAGCCAACCTCCGATAGGAGAAGGAACTACAAGAAGAATATATGCATTGAATAAGATGTCTGTTAAACATGATTTTATTTTAAATTCGTCACATAATTCAGGCAGTTACGGTTTGTCTGAATAACATTTGACAGAACAATGGTTTAAAAAAGGAAAAGGATATATACAAGAAAAAGGCATTACAATTCAAATGAAAAAAATCGTTGTATTTGCAAGTCTTGCTATAAGAATTTAATATCTTCTCTGAGAAGATCCGAAGCCAGAAAGAAGGTGAAACAAACTTATTGCTGTGATTGTCCAAATCAACCCTAAATGTGCGATGATTGCTTCAAACATTTTCATACTTTTCATTAATTCCCTTTGTCTTTACATCTATGTGTGTTTGGTTTCCCTAATTACGTTTGTCTATAAGTTTTTATTTTGTGTCATAACATAATCAATCTAGACTACATCAACAACATACATTAAGCACCGGGGAATATTACCCTCTAGTTTCGCTGTTAATCTAATCCAACACTAACGAGAATAAATAAGGGTTAAGTACTCAACACTATTTTTAATCGTAATTTACCAGTCTCTTTCTTTGGTTTGTTGTCGTCACGGAAGATCCAATAGATTTTTTACATTTTGAGCATTTCTCGATGTCTTCGTAAAACCTCCTAAAAGTAATAAATAGTTCCATTTGAACATCGAGGAAAACAATCAATATCGCCTTGAATTTATTTGGATTTGCTTGTTCCAGGATGAGAACAAATGGCTTTTCGATGCTACTTCTCTTCCGCTATTAGAAGTCTGGGTATACGATTAGCACACACATACTCATCCTGTTTAGTTCCTTATCAAAAATTTGTCTTATCACTTTTTTATTAATTCTTTATTAATGTCCACATCCCCAACAATAGCCCTAATACTTAATACACTGTCATTTCGAACCATTTCGGTAACTTCTTAAACGTTTAACACGGTTTTTGCAGTCATAGGCTGCAATAGGTCCCTACGGACTCGGACAAAGAAATGAAAGAGCCTCTTTGCAATGAATAGCTTTTTCAAAAACAGTCTCCAAAGAAAATGGACCTGGGCAAGTCCAAATGGAGTCACCAAAAATGAAATTGATTTTGTCTTCACCAACAACAAAGACATGGTCCATGTTGTAACAGTTCTTAATAGCTGTTCAATGAGAAGTGATCATAGAATGGTAAGAGCGTAGATCGTGCTACATCTCCAAAAACAAAGATACAAAATGATAACAAAAAACACCCAATAGGATGGAATCCAATCTAAAACACCATGTCCTCCGAAGAGGAAATTCTGAGATGTCTAAAGACAACAAATATAGACGTTATGGATGTCGAAACCTTAAATGATAACTTAATAAAAGCTATTAAGAACGCAGAGAAAAAGTGCCAATACAAATCCTAGGAGAGATGAGGAAAAAATCAGTCAAGAGACAAAAAGACTTACGGAGGCTCGAAGAGAACTTAAGAACAAAAACGATAAGAATGTACGCGTACTACAACAACTTAATAAAGCAGTAAGAAAGGGCGTACGACAATATAACACAAAAAATATTACAACGGTTGTCGAGGAAAATAAAAGTTTTAAGGTGCTGATAAAGATAAGATAATTAAGGTAGTTGAAGAATTTTACACAGAACTATCTAGAGAAAGGGGTAAGAAAGACGGTACCAAGTTAAGAAAAGTTCAGAATGTGGGTTCAGAGGATATCCCAGAAATAACAATCGAATAAGTCATTAAATCGAATGAAAAACAATAAGGCAGCTGGTGATGACCACATCGTTATTGATGCAGTTGCAATCATTTGCAAACCATTAAGTCGTTAATTGAAAAAAATCATTGAATATAATAGACTTCTGATACTTGTCTTTGTCGACTTTGAAAAAGCATTTGATACGGTCAATCATAGTGAAATGCTCCAAGCTCTAACACAATGTAGAATAGATCACCGATACATATCCCTCATCAGATACATTTATCAGCATGCTACAGCCTATGTAAGACTTAATTAAGATACTGGGACCTTTCGTATTGAAAGAGCCGTTCGGCAAGGAGACAACATGTCTCCTGATATATTTACAACTTTGCTAGAATACGCCCGTAAAACAATAGATTGGAACGAAAAGGGCATCAATGTGGAGGGAAAATTTTTAAATAACCTTAAATTTGCAGATGATATCGTTCTTATTGCAGACAGCTTTGATGAGGCACAGATAATGCTCCAAGAACTGCATACTGCCACAAAAAGAGAAATTAAATTTTTCAAAAACACAATTTATGACAAATTTAGTCCACAACAAAAACATCTCAGTAGAAGACAAAAATATTGAGCCAGTTGACTCCTATAAATACTTGGGCGATGAGATCAGAATAAGTCGAGACAACTAAACAATCGAGCTGAAAAGAAGAATAAACCTCGCTTGGGCTGCATTTGGAAATATGAAGGATATTTTTAGGTCTAAGATTCCAATGTGTCTAAAAAGAAAAGTATTTAATCAGTGTATTTTGCCAGTGATGACCTACGGCGCAGAAACAAGGACAACAGTGAGTAAACTACAAGTTGCGGAAAGGCTAATGGAGAGAATAATGTTAGGGATTTCTCTACGTGACAGAATACCCAATGCTACTATACGCAAAAGATTAGAAGTAGCAGACGTTATTGAAAGGATAACAACACTAAAGTGAAACTGGGCAGGTCATGTACCCCGAATACAAGCTAACAGAAATAGAGGTCGACCCCCCAACGAGATGGACAGCTGACATAAAAAGAGTGACTACAAATTGAATTCAGATGGCGCAAAATCGGACTAAGTGGAAAAGCATGTGAGAGGTCTATGTTCAGCAGTGGACGTTAGAGGCTAGTTGATGATGATGATGAAAATATACAGGGTGTTGTATTTAAAAAACCAAAATGATTGATTATATCAGAAAAATGGTAAATCTGGCAACGTTGTAAACATCAATTATCAAATTTTCATATTGTAAAATAGGTTTTACCTATTTTAGATGTCAAGACTCTTTTGTTTTATAAAAAACTTTCTAGCTGCGCATATTCGCTGGCTGGACGTTTTTCGATCGTTGTTGAACTTCATCAAAGTTTTAACTGTGTTCCTGGCCCATTCTTCTCCCACTAGAAACTAGGAAATGGATGATCACTCCCAGCAGAGCCTCACCTGCCGAGAGAAGGCTATGAAACCTGGCTGTCGCCTGGTATCCGCAATTAAGCTGCTCTTAGCTTTAAGTCGCAGGTGTTCAGGTTGCTAACCTCACAGAATTAGCAAGCACGAGGAAGCATTAAGCGCCACGACAAGGTGTCAAGGTTCTCGTATGGGATATGAAAGAAATACTTAATAAATATGTGAAAACATACTTTGCAAGATCAATATGTAAAAAATCAGATTTAAATCAGAAAATTTTGATAGTAGACTATGAACAGTAAGTATTTTAAAAGCACTCACATTCATATGTGGGTGTTTTTACAAAAAAATATTTGTTGTAAACAGTAATAAAAAGTATATAATCATTTTCCGTTTAATACTTTTTGGAAATAGAACTAGAGTTAGATTTTGTTTTGTACTTTGGTGTCATTTTACATTTTTCTTATTGTATCACAAATACAATACTTTAAGTTTAATTGTAAATGTTAGTTTTAATTTGTTTTTTTTTTAACACTAGTCGTATGCTATATCTTAATACTAGAATATTTATTTAATAATTAGTGATTAATTTTTAAGTCGATGATAGTTTTACTTTGGAACCGAAATCATTATATTTTTGTTTGTGTTTTAGATTGGAAACAATGTTTTGACAAGCTCACTGGGTATCCATATTATTGGAACAAAAAGACTGACGAAGTTACTTGGACTGTACCCGCTGGTTTTAAAGAGGAGAAAACCCTTCCGAAACCTCAGAAAAAACCCCCACCAAAGTTACCACCAAAAGCCTCTCAGCCGAAATCGTTATATGTTCCAAAAAGTTCCTCCCTGTTTCCAGCAGCTGCGTCGAACCTTGTACCAAAAGAATCTGTAAAAGTTTATTCAGTTGCCGAAGCCACTGCTGCTAAAAAGCGACCAGTAGCTACTAAAAAAGAATCACAAAAGAGGCGTTATCCAAAAGATGATCAGTCAGATGATGAGTAAGTGTTCATTATATTTTATTTGATGAATTATATTTTTAATATAACTCATCCACTGCTAAGCTTGTGGATCTCTACAATATTTTTGTACCTACATAACTACAAGATTTGTTCTAAAAGTATCTGACCTTCGTTCATAACTTAGTAATGCTCTATTCTTCGTCATTCTTAAACCCCATTAGACTTTACATACTCTAGAACATACTCTTGTTGGTTCTATAAGCCACTGAAGCAATGTATAAGCATAAGGAGGAACATGCACTGAATACAAATAAAGACATATTGATTGAGATTAACAGCAGTGTGATTTTTTAATAACATCGAGTAAAGTTTCTACGATGTCAGTTGGACAAGTCATAAAAACAAAATTCGACACTCAAGTGTCGGCGTCTTTGTAAAACATAGGCGGCGCAATAGCAATTAAATAATAAACTTTTATTTTTAAATTAAGGTCTAATATTTTGTTAAACACTAATAATATTGTTAATGATTGACATAGCTAACGTGTCAAAGAAAAAAAGTGATATTGTGCCGATGTGTATTTTTGCCCTGGGGGTGAGTACCTTCTTATGGGGTGAAAAGATATACATCCAAAATAAGTCCGGAAGTGGATAAACTGACTAATTCTAGGTAACTTTTGTTCTATAGATGTTTTTACTAAATCAATACTTTTCGAGTTATTTGCGAGTGAATATATTCATTTTTCATCAAAAACACCACGTTTTTGGACGATTTCTCGCAAATAACTCAAAAGGTAAGTATTTTATGGAAAAAATGTTCGTAGCAAAAATACAGTTTATAAAAAAGTGAAAACAATGGTATATGTATGAAGTCTGTATACCCAGCAGAAGCAGAGTTATAGCTAATGAAAAATAGATTCTTACCTATTCGTCAAATTCCATATCGAATAATTCAACGTGAAATAATAAAAAAAAATGTTTTTTTACTTTTTTTTTAATTATTGTTTAATGAAATCTTTATTTTTAATTTTTAAAAATGTTTCTAGCATCAAACGTAAGCAAGTTACGCTCAAAACAAAGTTGATCCCTTTTTTTTGGTAAAAAATAATCATGAATATGATCTGTAAGTTTCATCGGTTTAAAGAGGTTATTTTTGAAAGATACTTATATGAAATCGGCCAATTCGTCTTACAGTCGAATTGTCTCTTGGGTTATAGATTAATCGAGAGATCACATTTACTTCGATACACAGAACATATTTTTGACAATTTATGGAAGTCTTTGTAGAAATATTCAAACAATTAAACACTATCACTATCCGTGTGTCCAGAACTTGAGTCGTCGTTTGTGTTTATAACTACCGGTTCAATTGGTGGTAAAGTAGGATATTCTTTTTCTTTTACTTGAACATGCGCTACACAATTTTTCAAATGTCAGTTTTGTTAAGTTCTTCGATCACTGTTCTTATATTTTGGACAACAACGTCACTTCATTGGGGAGATTGATTCATTTTCCGCAATTTCTTTTTTACATTGGCCCATATCATTTCAATTGGGTTGAAAACACAATGATATGGAGGGAACCGTAAAACCGTATGCCCGTGGCGTTCAAAGAGTTTATCTATTACATATTCTTTTTGAAAATTTTGTTGCTTAATTAATTGCAACAATTCCTTTTTGGTACATTTACTAGGTGTTGCCATGCATTTGTTCTCCATAAATTCTATGATATCTCCCTTCTTGGAGCTAGTATTTGGAATTTTGGTGTAGAGTCTAGAATGGTATGACGCATTATCCATTACTATCACGAAATTTGTTTTAATATTCGGTAACAGCTGTTCCGTTGCCAATTTTTCAAAAAGTTCAGCCGTCATATCCTCATGATAATCAGCTGATGACACTGTTTAATGTTTTTGGCCGATAATAACAAGGCATTAGGTACAAACCCGCTCTTAGTCCCAGCATGTAGAATTATAATTATTTTTCCTCTCGAACAAGGAGTATTCAAGCAGCACTTTTTGCTATCATCCATCCAGCCATATTGAACTACATCATGGGTGTCAAACCACGTTTCATCAAGATACACAATGTCTCTATTGTCATCTCGATATTCTTTAATGTATTTACAACTTATTTTCTACTGTCTCAACTCAAACTTAACTAAAAGACAACACTACTGTTTGCACAAAAATATTAAAAATATACGTGAACTTGCTGTCGTACACGACGATACTGAATATATCGTTTAGTATGAGAAACCTGAGAAGGCATTTTTAACCAGATAACGATCAAGTTTGAGCGTAATAACTTCCGAAAAATATGACTAATTACACTTCAGTAGTGCCCGATAAGATACGTAGAAAGTAATAAACCACAGCTGCAATGTGGACAATACCGTTAGTGATCAATTACAAATAATGTTTATACAGTGGAACCTCGATTATCCGTCTCTCTATTAACCGTCACCTCTGTTAACCGTCAGGATCCATACATAGGTTATATTGACAACATAAGTAAAAATTTAGTCATCAATTCATTTTGTTTGCATAAAAATTTCCATCAAAGACGATTCTCATTTTGTACAATGCACCTGCCCATCCTAAGCCGGTATGCTGCGGAATGACGATAAAAATATCACGTACTCTTTTCTGCCTGCGAATACATCATTGATACAACCAATTGATCATTCGGTCATTAACAGATTCAAAAGAAGATACAGGAAAAAAATTATTTAAATCCTAGTTATGGAAGAGTAATATTCTTGGCCAGAATGCTGGAAAGCATACAATTTAAAACACGCAGTCGACAATGTTGTGGATGCTTGGGCTAATGTTTCGGAAGTAACGCTGAAAAGAGCCAGAAACAAATTATGGTCCTGGCATCACTTAAGATGAAAATGCTCCGCTTAAATAAAGTTATGGCTGAATCAACTGTTTTGTTTTCGTTGTCTAAAGATGACATAAACGAATGGTTAATTTGTGATGAGGACGCAAACGGCTATCGATTGCTAACAGACGATGAAATCGTTGAAATGGCAACAGAGGCGGACGAAACTGATTCAAAAGCCGACTTTGATGGTGGCGATGTTGATGATGCTATTACAACTCACAAAGATCTGTGTAAAGAAGCTAGAGGGGCTGCATCGCACACACAACAATTCATCAAGTGGTATTCTCGACAAGAAGAAGCAAATAAGGTAGATTTCATGATTTTACGTCGATTAAGAAATTCAGCCGTTGCCAAATGTAAAGTAACAATAAAACAAACAAAAATTTCGAATAATTTAAATCAAATTGATTCGACTGTACTAACATAAATATCTCTTATATTGTCAAATAAAACATACAAATAAAATTTGAGAGTTATACTATGATTTTTTTTAATGTTCTGTTAACCGTCTTTTCAATTATCCGTCATACCCTTGGTCCGGTGCCCTGACGGATAATCGAGGTTCCACTGTATTTCTGAATTATTCGGGACTGGACCCTAAAAATTCCTTAACTTTTATTGAAATTTAAAATTGATGATTAAAAGTATATACATACATAATACAAATGAAATGTAATGTGCTTATTAATTTGAGAACTAAAAAATCAGACTACAATTTTACAAATAAAATAATTTATATAATAAGTTTAAAATAAAATAAAATAAGTTTATCACGACGACACTGTTATTGATGCTTGCCGCCTTTGAAACATGAGAAGCAATTTTTACCTGATAACGGCAAAGCCAGATTTGGTATCAGTGTATTCACTTCCGAAAATTTTGACCAATTACATTTCAGTATTACCCAATAAGATACATTCAAAGTAATAAGCCACACCAATATCCATGTGGACTAATACCAGGAGTAATCAATAATTAGAATTACAAAGAATTATCTTTATTTCTATGTTTGCCGTAGAATTACTGACCGGACCCCAAAAATTGATCTTTCCCAATTAATATCGTAACAACTTTACAATGGTTTGTGGATACAATGTGGGTTGCAGCTATATTAGACATAACATATTCGATAGAAAATAACCTTTCTAAAGAAATACGTCGACGATATAATCTTAACCCTACCAAAAGACATGATTAATGAACTTTTATACATTTTTAACGACTTTGATCGGCATATCAAATTTATAGTTGAAACGAAGACAAACATCAGTCAGTCCCATTCCTTGACACCAAACTAATACGTAACACTAATAACGAAATAGTAACAGATTAGTATAGGAAACCTATTAGCTCCGGAAGATACATTAACCATTGCTCATATCATAAGCATGTACAAAAATTAATCTTATAAAACAAATGAAGAACAGAATTTTACAAATTGCAGATCAGACTCTATTATAAAAACCTAAAAATCCTTTTCATCAACTCGTTTTAGGCAATTCATACCCCATTACTTACTAAAATACTATTCAGTACAACAAACAATACATTATTTGTAATACAAACCATCCCTAACCACACACCACAAAACACTACACTCACAATAGCCACAACCACTAACACCAAATTAACTCCATTTAAATACTTTAGATTACCGTTCATACAAGAGTTAACACCGAAACTTACACGAATTTTTAAATCAGTTGATGAGAACATTAAAATCGCTAATTATATAGTGTTAAACATTAATTCCATATTGAATAAAGTAAAATATAAAACACCTACGGACGAATTATCCAATGTAGTCTATCGTATTCCTTACGGAAGTTGCAACAAACAATATATTGGCCAAACAAACAGACACCTAAAAAGTCGTATCACTTCCCACAACAGTGACAGCAGATTATATCCTGATAGATATTGACTTGCAAAACACGTACATGATGAATACCATATAATGAATTACAGCGAAACAAAGATTCTTGAAAATAATCTCAATAAAAGACTCTTCCTCCAGATGGCATTTATCACTCAAATGGATAATTTAATTTATAAGAAATCAGATGTTGAGCATCTGAGTGAGATAATTATTTATTACACATTGAAAAGCAAACATTATACATAAACACACAGAACTATTAAATAATTAATATAACACAAAACGTAATTTCAAAAATTTTTAACTAAAACACAACTTTACAGTAAATGTCAATCAAAGAAACCACTACGACATCAACGATATGGAACTAACTATCTTCTGGCATAAGTCAATCAGTAACATTCGATATTTGGTATTTCTGGTACTTAACCTTAATGACAGTCGCTCGACCAAACATTTTTGTGTTTATTTTGTTTTTAATTCGAATTGTGTTTGTGCTTATATTTTAAATGATAAAGTAAATTATACAACCTTTTAAACTAAATGTTACAAATATAATGTATGTCGAATATAGCTGCAACCCACATTGTATCCACAAACCATTGTACTTGATGTTATTAAAAAATCACACTGCCGTTAACCTCAATCAAGTAAGATATAAATAACAAATAATTAATAAACTGTATTTTACCATGTTTTAAATAATTATAGCTCTAATTTAATTTTGAATTCTACTGAACAAAATAATGTTACTTTATTCAACATTCCCTATACCTATTTTTGACCGGTTTCGATTTATTTAGGTTTTTCTGAAAATGTACTATTCGCGAAATTAATTAATTACACAATATCGCATGAATTTTAATTAACGCCTTTTTGTCAGTTAATTGTCAAGTGTCCATGTTTTACATCAGAATAATTACCATTTGAAACTAATCTACAGAGTGTTCGCAATCTGAAGTGTCAATGCTGTACCATATTTTGTATAATTACTTTCATATCTTAAATGGGATACCCTGTATTTTACTTTAATTTTGAATTCTAATTAAAAAAATAATATTACTTTATTAAACAATCCCTATACCTATCTTTGAGAATTTTCGATTTATTTGCGTTTTTTTGAAAATGCACTATGTATTCTTGAAATTAATTAATTTTTATCACTTTATTACATAAAGTTCAACTCTAACTAAACAAAAACCCTGTATTTGTTGTAACATGTTGTAACAATTATTATAATCAAACTATTATACAATTTTATATTAATATCTATTATCTTCAAATCTATTTGCATTATGTTACCTGGAACATTAAATGTCATTAATTACATAGCTCGTTATTATAAAGAATGCCATGAAAAAACAAAAGGTACCTAGCTGTCAAACTATTAACTGTATTGCTTTCAATTAAATAGAAATGGCAGATTATTCAATTGAAGGCCGAGTAAATATGATTTTAATACTGGGTGAATGTGATCAAAATAGTTTGTTAGCATCAATAGTCTATGCTGAGAGATTTTCCTTGAAACGTCATCCTCGTATAGAAGTATTTGACAGAGTCTTAACAAGGTTTCGTGAAACTGGCAGTGTTGTTTATACTAAACGAAAATTAATAAATCCGATAACTGAAGATGAAAATACCTAATTAGAAGTTATTCAATCAGTTATTGAAAATCCAAATACAAGTACAAGGACGATGGCCAGGGAGATTGAAGTAAGCCAAACTAGTATATGCAGAATTCTTAAAAAATATCAATATCACCAATACCATATTCAAATGCATCAGCATTTGTATGGAACTGATTTTGAACGAAGGTTAGAATTTTGTTTATGGTTTCTAGACAAAACGGGAGCAGATCAACATTTTTTTGATAAAATTTTGTTCACTGATGAATCTACTTTCCATAATAATGGACTCGTGAACCGACATAACTTTCACTATTATAATACGGAAAATCAACATGAATATAGATGTACTGATCGACAAAACCGATGGTCCCTTAATGTATATGGTGGAATAATAGGAGAACATGTGATAGGACCGTATTTTTTTAATGGCCATTTAAATGGACAAAAGTTTTTAAAATTTCTACGAAGAGACTTTTGGATACTTTTGCAAAATATCCCTTTAAATATTAGAAGAACAATGTTTCTGCAGCTAGACGGTGCTCCAGCACATTACACGCGTAACGTTAGAGAATATTTAGACAGAAAATTTCCCGGAAAGTAGATAGGTAGGGGTGGTGCTGTCAATTGGTCCCCTAGATCACCTGGGTTAACATCAATGGACTTTTTTTTGGGGATATATTAAAAGTTTGGTTTATCAAACTCCACCTACAACCGCTGAAGACATGAAAACGCGTATTCGTAATTCGTTTGCAACAGTTACTCCAGAAATGCTAAGAAGAGTAAAACAAAATTTTAAACACAGAGTGAGGTTATGTATTGAAGAAAATGGACACCATTTTGAACATTTAATCGAATAATAATTTAATTAAAATTAATCGAAAATTATAAAGGATAGGTATAGGGATTGTTTAATAAAGTAATATTATTTTTTTGATTAGAATTCAAAATTAAAGTAAAGTACAGGGTGTCCCATTTAAGTTAAGAAAGTAATTACACAAACTATTATACAGCATTGACTCTTTGTATTGCGAACACTCTGTAGATTAATTTCAATTGGTAATTATTCTGATGTAAAGCATGGACACTTGAAAATTAATTGACAAAAAGGCGTTAATTATAATTGATGCGATACTGTGTAATTAATTAATTTCGCGAATAGTACATTTTCAGAAAACCCCAAATAAATCGAAACCGGTCAAAAATAGGTATAGGGAATGTTGAATAAAGTAACATTATTTTGTTCAGTAGAATTCAAAATTAAAGTGAAATATAGGTTATTCCATTTAAAAAAGTATAAGTTTATATCATTACCCCAAATTGGGACACCCTGTATATATCTCACAAATTTTAATTTGTAGCCGGTACTGACCTAGATATTCCTACAAAAGGAATTTTTAATATCTTTAGCCATTTCCCCGGTAGGCTCCGTCCCGTTGAGCATGACTCACCCTGTATATATATATATATATATATATATATATATATATATATATATATATATATATATATATATGGAGGTTGAGGTTGAGGATATATATAATTTATAATAAACATAATTTAATTTTTTAGGAAAATTGTATTGATATCATCATATGGTTCAGGGTCAGATTCAGAAGAGGAACCTCCAGTTGCGAAAAAGAATAAACCGGCAAGTAATTTTTCACATAATTAGTATTAAACACCTACAAGGATAGTCTTAGTACCTAATGACTTTTGTCTTTCATTCCGATTTTCAATCTATATTATTTAATTTGAATACATTCTCTACAACTTTCACACTTTCTATTGGCATTCCCATGTAGTCATATGAGCTAATAAATAAAATTTTAAAGATTTTACAAAATATTTTACGTCATTTCGTTGCTTTATTTCTAGTTGTTAGTGATTTTTATTTACCTGGCAGATTATTAATTTGAAAATTTTTTATAAATGTCACGTGAATCTTCGTACTAGGTTAACAGTCTTCTCTAATGTTACTATGTTTTATTTGAAATTTAGGATTTTCAAGTAATTTTCCAGATTTTTTAGATTATAAAACGTAATAGATAAAATACTCTTATACTTTCAATGTTAATGATGACAACTTTTCCAGATATTGCATTTTTGCAATATATGATTCTAAAGTTTTCAATCTGAAATTTTTGTCAATACTAGATCTTATGATGAATTACTGTTAGAGATCTCCAATACTATTTGTTGAGGTTTCACAGTTGCTGAGGATCAAATTTTACTTTTTTTGTAAATGGACTAATGTGTTTCCCGGATATTTCACAAAAAAGCTTAGTAAAAACCATGTGTTTATGTTTTTATTTTCTTAAAAACAAACATTACTAAAATGAAGAGAAAGGAAGCAAGTCAAACCGAACAGCGATATGAAATTTTGGGAAAGCTTTTTCAGTTTTTGGGAAAACATTGGTCCAGATAGATTACTTACATTTAACCTTTAATTTTTCTTAGGAAATACCTCCGCCTAAACAGCGTGAAAGTTCTGTTTCTGATGATGATGACGACGATTTAGATATCTTAGCAAAAATCCAGAAAAGGGCACAGGAACTTCGAGAACTCGGAGGTGACATTCCAGCAGAAGTGAAAAGCGTTGTAGAAAATACCAAGAGCGAAGTATCGAGTCCACGTGTACACTTGGGAGTACCAATCGGTCCTTCATTACCAGAATATTCCAAAAAAGACAATAAGGGAGTACCAATTGGCCCTTCATTGCCAGAATTTTCCAAAAAAGGCAATAAGGGAGTACCAATCGCGCCTTCATTACCAGAATATTCCAAAAAAGACACGCAGACTTCAAATAAAAAGGTAACAACAGGGCCTTCATTAGTTGCTAGTTATTACAGTGACAGTGATAGCGATGAAGACAATGAAGAAATTAAAAACATTCCTCAAGTGAAACAGGAATTGCCTGTGGCTCATAGTACTTTATTTCCAGGTAAATATTTGTTATAAAATATATTCTACCTATTTACTTGTATCTTGTGTTAGTCAATATTTTTCCATTTTCTTGTTGTCAAATATCTTTAAAGACTAAATTTATCATTATCCTGATAGTAATGTTGTTAATATCATGTATGATACATGATATTTACCAAAACGCAACCATGACCGTAATTCTGGACGACAAATTAATAACGGATAATATAAAAGTTAAACGAGGAGTCCGACAAGGCGATATAATTTCACCTAAACTGTTTACCTTGACCCTCGAAGACATAATAAAATCAACAGATTGGGAAAACAGAGGACTATGTATTAACGGAAAATACCTAAATCACCTTAGATAGGCGGATGATATACACCTGATCTCCTCGGAACGACAAGAACTGGAATTAATGCTGAATGAACTTCATGAAAAATCACTGCAAAAAGGCCTAAAAATTAACTTCAACAAAACAAAAGTAATGACAAACACGGAAGACCAAGAGGCAATAAAAATAAAAACAGAAAAAATAGAACAGATAAATGAGTATATCTATCTAGGACCAGCAATCAGAGCTAATAGAGAAAATCAAACAGCCGAAATATCGAGACGAGTAAGAATGGGATGGGCAGCGTTCGGCAAACTTTCTTACGTTCTAAAAAATCAAACAATCCCTCTATACTTACGAAGCAAGGTATATAACTCCTGTATCATACCGGTGCTCACCTACGGAGCACAGACATGGACATTTACACAGGCCAATTTGGATAGGATAAGGAAGGCACAAAGAGCGATGGAGAGACAAATGTTGGGTGTATCACTTAGAGATAGAAAACGTAACCAGTGGATCAGAACCAGAACAAAGACAGTAGACGCGATAGAACAAGCAGCAAAACTAAAATGGAAATGGGCTGGACACAATGAACGTCTCCAAGACGGACGATGGAACAATGCCATCGGAAAGTGGCGTCCATACAATGCAAAGAGATCAAGAGGCAGACCACAGATGAGGTGGAAAGATGACATCAGGAAACAAGGAGGTCCCACATGGCAGAGAACAGCTGAAGATAGGGAAAGATGGAGAGAACTGGGGGAGAACTATATCCAACAATAGAAGGATAGAGAATAGGTTTAAAAAAAATGTTGTTAATGGGGCCTTCCTAGCTTTAGTGTCACGATGAAATAAAAATGCAAACAACATTAACAGGTTGAGTGCCACAGCAAACACCAGTGTCTGCTTAGAGTTATCTGACTAGTATTGCCAGAGCAGACACTCGTGTCTGCTATAACTTCATACACATTTTTCACTATACCTACTTTCAGTGTCTGCAAATCCTGTGTATTTAATATACATCGGTGTCTGGTAAGGCAATGGCTTATAGGCAACTACTATAAACTTTTTAAAGGACATAGCCGGATAAGAATGTCAAAATTGTCCCATCGGAAACTTGATTGAAAAATGAAAATTTCGGACTAATGTTCGGCATCACAAAAAATGAAGATTCACCAAATTATTACCCAAAATATTGACACAACCTCAAATTCAAATTGATTTGAGCGTTTGAAAATATTATGTAAAAATATTTTTACCAAAACTATGTAAAAATTGAAAAAACCGGCCTTTTGCCGTTTTTTTGCCGTTTATTGAGTTGCATTTATAGTTAGAGGTGCCCTACTATTTTAAATGCTATTTTAGTCAATGGCTTACATCAATGCCTTTAATTTGGAGCCCAGATGAGCCATTTTAGACCCTTAGAACCAGAGTTATGATGATTTAAAAGACGCAAGTCTGATTAGATCCGTCGCGTCGGTTTTCCAGCGTTTTCACCGTTTTTTCGCAGTTTTTGAGTTATACCGTTATAAGAGACGTTGCTCTTTTGAACAGCATTTGAGCCATCCTTTGACACCAATACCTTTAATTTCGACTCCGAATGAACCATTTTGGACCCTAAAACAAGAGTTACGATAATTTAAAAGACGATAATCTGATTAGAATCTTCGATTTTCCGGATATTTCGCCGGTTTGTGTTACATTTCTAGTTAAATTATTATTCAACTAACTTTTTTCAAAAACTGAAATCAAGACCTTAAGTTGAACCCTAGATCTGGCCCCGTGACCCACTTGAGCTAAGCAATATGAATCAAAAATTGATTATCTGATAAATAACAAGTTTTTCTATTTGAATCGGGTATTTAACTTGAAAATCCATTCATTTACTCAATTTCTGGCTGGCACTCAACCTGTTAAATTACTTAACACACTTGATGTTGAACATAATAGAAAGGGGCAGAAAGAAAGTAATGATTGATCATATATCCTATCCCCCTATCACTAACATCAAGAAAATCTGTTCTGTTGTGCTCCTTCCTTGACTAAAGCCTGGTATTCACCAATTATATCATACATTCTTGGTTTCAGAACACCGATTCAGCTCCGCTTCCATAAGCAGGCAGCTGGACATGTCTTATCATCTTGTGACCAACCAACAGATAAATCGGAAATTATGGAAAAAAAATACTGCAAAAACTGCTAAACTGGCCCGCTGCCAGCTTAAAAATCCCCAAACTAAATAGGCCCCGCTCTCGTCAGGGTAAGATTTTCCCAGTCTCTGACTTGATTTCACTTATCGGCATTTATCAATGTAAATAAACATTTGGATTTGGATAAACAATTCTAAATGCGGTTTTCTTTCGAAGATTTATAAGTTGCAAATTAAAACCTTTTATCTGCTAATGAAAAATGACAAATATAACATGGTAATAATTGAAGGTATGATAAAAGGCCGAAGAGCGATAAGCAAAAGAGCCATGTCATGGGTTCGCAATATCAAAGCTTGGACGGCCATGAACGTTCAACAATTACTAGGAGTGGCGCGAAATAGAGAACATTTTGATGTAGTGATCGCAAAACTCCAGGAATGGAGTGCACCAGCAGAAGAACATCTGCCAAAAAATCTGCTCCTACGTATTCATTTACTTGTTCTCGTAATATTGAAGTCTTCGTTTTGGTTGGTCATAGTTTTAGTTTTGTCATAGTTCATCTTTAATCCTATTGTTCTTGATTTGTTTTTCAACTCTTCAATAATTTTTTGCAATTATTTTTTTTTACTACATATTACTTTCCGGAATACTGGTATAAATATAATACTTATATATATATATATATATATATATATATATATATATATATATATATATACCTAAAAATAAAATAATTATAGATTTTCAGCAGCATCTTAATGCAACAAATTGTATTACAAGTTTATTAATATAATTTTATCTTTCAAGTTACCAAACCTGTAAGTATAAACGACTTCATAACACCAAAACCTGAAGTGACTGTTATTGAAAGTCCCAAAAATGCAGTAACTCAACCATTCGATAGTAAATTATTTATGAGAAAGAAGAAGTTGTCAGTACCAGTCGTGACCGTTGCGAAAAAAAGCGGAGACGATGAAGAACGCAGAACAGGTTTTGGCTTCGAGGAAAATGTAGCTACTTCAGAAAAAGGGAACGAGAATCTATATCCTGGTTTTAAGAAAGGTATTGAAATTTTTTAGTATAATTCCTAGTCTTTTGTATTCTGCAATAGGTCCCAGTTTGGTGTGGTAGACGTATGTATGTAGCGTTACATTTACATCAAATTAGTTTGATCAAATCAAAGAATGAATAGCATATGACGTCATATCATGAATTTGATCAAATCCTCTAAAAGTAGATGCTCTTCTATTTTTCAAGATCAGTTTGAACACGTTCTAAATTTATTTGGTAAAAAAATATCTTAAGACGGCAGCTTTTTTGTTTTCATTGTGGATAAGAAAAATTTGTATCGTAAATTTATTACACACAACTAATAAATAAGCAAAAGAGACAATTAATTTCAATGAAATCATCATTAGACAAGCGACAATAAAAATTTGATCAAATTTGAATGTGAGTGTGAAAGGTAGATTTTTAAAATTAAACAATCTGTAATTATGACATCATTACGTCAGTTTGATCAATTATTTATCTCTATATTATATCTTCTGCACTATTCAATATTATAATAATAAAAATCCTTCGTATTATAATTCATTATTTTTTGTCATTGCAATTTTTCATCTATTTTTTTTGAAAAGATAAATTAATGGTAATAAATAATAACTTTACATTTTTTTATTTTATAGTTCCCTACATAAAATACTGTTATTTTAGATTTAGGCCCTAACACTTTCCCTCTAAGGGAAAAATTAATCCGAGATACGTATTGGATTTGAATTCTGTGGAGTTTCTGTGTGAGTTTGAAGGCCGAACAAAGCTGTGCGTTTATTCTCCATAAGAAAAGCACCCTACTTTAGTGTGAATTTCACTATAGATAACCTACTATGATTTGGTATTTTTCTGGCATCAAGAATTCGCTACCAGTACCACTTTTTACCAATAGGTATCAACGGGGTACTTTCCATTCTCAATTACTTTCTTATTTGTATCTTAAGATCCCTATAATTATCAATTTTCTCGTTGTATTTTACTTGAAGATTGGTTTTTGTAGATATTTTCACATCATTAAGCGTTTTTTGTTTACTAGTAAGAGATCCGGGATATTATCTATTACTTGTTATTATTTTTAAGTATAGTACCAGAGATATACTTGGTTTGGAGAGGTCTAATTTTGTTTGTTGTTGTCCGTTTGTTCAAATGAACAAACGAGAACAGAGATCCTCTTCTGAGTTTTTTCCATTATGTTTAGCTTTTTTGTACTGTTTTCTTTCATTTGTTTGTGTTGCTAAGCGCATATATTCAATTGCTTCATGATTTATTGGCATTTTCCAGTTTCCTTCTAGTAGCATCGCTCAGTAAACTATAAAATATTAACGTTTTTAGGTGGTGTAGCTTTTGTCAAATCAGATGTTCTATTACCTTCATTTACCAGGAACGAAGGGTCCAATAGTAAAGAGGAAGATGATCAAATCGATAAGGAAGGCATTGATATTACATATACTAATTTAAAGGATAAATTAACGTTTTTAAATGAAGGTAGACCGCCAATATCGTCGGTACAGGTGATGCTAGTGCAAGCTGAGGTGAGTTTATAGTCACATTTCAGAATTGAACTGTCTGTTTTCTTGATCGTATGATTTTATGGTTTTGAAACTATTTTCTTGTGGCATTTTTAGTTTATTTAATGGGGACTAACTGCAATTTTAATTGAAACTATGTTTATTTTATCATGTCTAAGTATTTTTTTAAATATTTTTTAAATATAAAAAGAGAATTATTTATTACATCCATAAATTTTTTTTTAACTAAATGATCATATTTAAATTATTAGTACAGCAGTTTTATTAAGAAATATAGTTTTATCTGCTCTTGAAAAGAAATGTAAACGCCTTTGAAAGCTCTAGTAATAAAAAAATATATTTGTTGACTCCAACCCACCTAATATATATATATATTATATATATATATATATATATATATATATATATATATATATATATAAAAGAATAAATCTTCTAGCAAAAGCTGCTATCGCTTTAATGAATTAAATGGCCAAAAATACTTTATTGATACCGATTCGAGCAAGGGAAGTTTAATGAATTTGTCTTCCTAGGCCATATATTTTTCCGTATATATATATATATATATATATATATATATATATATATATATATATATATATATATATATATATATATATATATACGGTTTTAGGCGACAAGTTTTGATTAAAAGTAATGGCGGATATAGTTATATTAAAATTCGTAAATTACGAAGTTGTAGGTTTTGAAGATATAATGTTGTCCTGAATGTGGCACTTCCGGTTTGTGCACTGTGTTTTATTACATTTTTTGCTGTATTTTTAAGCCAATTTATTTGGTATTTGTACTTTTGAGATATTCCATAGAGATTATTCCATTTGAGATATATTGATTATCCAAGTTAAAACATAACACTTTAATTTAACAATTATCTCAACGTTAGTCAAGAGTATGAGTTCTATTATTTAAGGTGATATTTTATTATTTTTTCGTAAGTTATTGATGCTGAAAAGTAAACAATAGCATAAAAGAATTATTAATTGTGACTAATAAAGTTTTATAATAAGTGTTCAAAATTATCAATTTCCACTTCTAAACATTTATGAATCCTTTTCATTAAGTAATTCTTAAGTAAGTCTTGTAATTCTGGAAATATGGTCAAGTATTAAAGAAATAGAAGTAATTAAGACTGCACAAATAATGAAACCTGGCGTTCTAGTTGGCCACCTAAAAATCTTGGAAGAAATTCCATTGGATTCTAAGGACAGGGGGACAGATGCCGTACCTGTCAAACTTGACTTTGAAACCCCGTTTGAAGTGGTTATAAAAAAAAACACCAAATGGATGAAGAAGTTGAACCGAAACGGCCCAACAGAGACACATCCTTAGGGTAAAACTCTTTATTTTGTTAGACAGCCAAGCCGCCTTAAGGCTCTTAAGTTATTTACTTGTGAGTCAAAGTTGGTTTGGGACTGTAAATAATCCCTCAAGAAGCTGGCGGAACGCAACAAAGTAACTTTGATGTGGGTGTTAAGTCACAAGGTAATTGCAGGAATTGAGGAAGCTCACAACCTCGCAAAAGAAGGGGCTAATACCCCATTTCAGGATCCGCAACCCTTGTGTGGGCTATCGAAGAGCCACATCAGAGAGAAACTCCGGATCCGAAAACTCAATCAACTAAGAGTACACTGGTCTAATAGACCAGGACAAAGGTGAGCAAAAAGGCTCATAAAAGTGTCGCCTACTGCAACAAACTGCCTTCTCGAAATGAGTAAAAGAGATATAAAAATGGTCACTGTCCTCTTAGATATCATCTCAAAAAAATGGGCAAATCAGATAGTGAGAACAGTCGTTTCTGTCACAACGAAACAGAAACGGCAGAACATACATTATGCAACAGTCTAACACCCTCTGAATAGGGAACAAGTCATCTAGGAAGCTAATCAACTTCGTCCTAAGTATTGGCGTTCTAGAGTTTAACTCGATTCACAAAAATATGCACAAAAGATCTCTACAGGGCGAAGAGCGGTGAGGCTGCACGGCCTTAATGGCCTCTTATAATCTAATATAAGACTCTCTGCATCATATCTTCTTTTGACGTAACACGTTTGGAAAATACTGATTTGAAAATGTAAGCACAAATGCCAAAATCTAAAGAAGTCAAGTCAGTAGAGCGTACTGGCCAAGGAAACAGACACTGATTGACAATCGATCTATCATTAAACATGTAAAGATACTGAGCAACAGGCCTAAAGTTATGAGGAGATGCTTCATCTTCCTGATACCAAGCTGAAGCCGACTCTCCATTTCTTAAAATATGGGAATTATGCCGATTAAATAATCCATTTTTGCTAAAGTTTGCTTCATCAAACCATATAACTTTTTTATGAAGTTTTCATCTTCTTGGTCTTCAATAATAACCATTCATTAAATTGTAACCGAGGAAGATCACATAATTGTAAGTGTTGAACATAATGTTATTAAAATGTTTCCTTTTGTGTTTTTTTTTAAATGCGATGAATTGTTCTCGTCGGCACATTAAGGTTAATATTTAAAGTTACTAAGGTGTGGTTAAACTATTACTTAAATACATTTAAGAAAACAGAGGGATCAAAACTTGACTGGAACATTAATTTTCATGAAATAAACATTAACGAAAGATATGAAGAAACTTCGTCATAGTTATTAAGAAACTAGAAGCACTTGTAAAGATTTTCTTGTACAGAAAACTAAACAGCCAGTTGACTTTTAACAACAAGGAACTTACAGAAATTCACGGCAATACTGCAAAAAAAATTATAAAATGAATTCACATGTGATAAACCAACCTTTATTTAACATACTCAAACATGATTAGGATTTAAATGACTGCATAAACATGCAGTTTTTAATTTTTGGTAAAAAGGGTAGTTTTCACCCCTTAAAAACAAAAAGCACACACTTTAATCATATCTCTTTTGAAGAATTTGAACTTAAGCTTACTTAAAAAGTTTAATTAAAACCGGTACAGTTCTTTGAAATTCTGAGGTTTTACAATATTTTGTGGTGAAAGAATGAACTAATCTCTCGACAAGTGTTTTTAAATCCTTAATATTATCTCTTATAAAAACTTAAAAACCTCTCCATTAATAGTTACACCCAGACTACGACCGTTTGAAGTTTCGTGGAAACTGTTACTGTATAAATTAAATAGAAGAGGAGAAATAATACATGACTGCCTCACGCCACGCAAAATTTCTACTTTCTCAGGGAGCTCATCGTCTACTTTAACTTTTGCTGTTTGCTTTCAATAAAGATTTGCTATGATTCTTATATCCCGGCTGTCAATGTCCACGCCTGTGAGTATCTCTATGAGTTTGTGTTGTTTGACTTTATCGCATGCTTTTTCGAAGTCTATGAAGCATACATATAGGCCATGACTCATATCCAAACACCTTTACACTAATAGATTATTATCACACAACGTTTCACTGATTCTGGCTGATTTCAGAGTCTACCTTCTCAAATATTCTCTTGTAACTATAAGCAAAAACGTTAAGAGTGTGGCTCATGAGGACACATGAAACATTCTTTGGCGTTCGGATTTTTGATCAATGTTGCCAGTATAATGGGAAATGTCGATAATAATCAATATTTTGGAATAGTTTCTCAACTAAACTAAACAAAAAATCTCAACTAAAACGGCATATTCATCAATGAATTTAAGCTTCAGCTGATAGCTGGTAGCTGTCCAGCGGATTAGTTGTTCGACACTTCAATAAATATATCAATATCAATAAATAATTCCTGTCTTTAATCACAATTGTTTGCCTAGTAAGCTCTAGATTTGCTCTTATTTTACATATTTTTATTTATTTTAGACTCTTGTGGTTGCTATGAATGATGGAGCACTGAAGAGATCGTATCTAAAAAAATGGTTAGATGATACTTGTTCAGAATTAAAGAAACTAGAAAAAGAAGCAGCGCCTACTGGATGGATGTTACAATGGGACAGGTAAGGTTTTAACATGTTTTTTAGTTAACAAATAGATTATTACCGAACATTCCGCAAACTATACATGAGTACCGTCTCTAGGACAAGTTTTGCTGCTTCAAGGTGATTCGATTCTAATAAACAAATAATCGGCTAAATTGCTTTAATTTAGCGGTAAATAATACAGTAAAAAATCGTTATTTTTAGAACGCACAGAAGGTATTTCTACCAAAACAAAATTTCCGGAACTAGTCAGTGGGAGTACCCACAGCCAGATATGAACACTAATGACGTAGCCATGGATATATCTACAACGCCGCCTCCACCACAAGAGATTGAGTCGCCGCCTCCCGAAGAAGTGTTACTACCTCCTCTTCCACCCAAGATAAGAAGTCCATCCCCGCCTCCTCCACCAATTATCAGCTGCGCTGAATACGATGAAGTTATTGTACCTAGTAAGAAAAACATTTATATTTATTTTTAAATATTTCCGCGACTAGTCGTTTATTATACGATAATAAGTGGTTCAAATTTTTCAATATGATACAATCAAAAAATATGACAACACATTACATTGATAGTATTATTGATCATGTTTTTTTTTTGTATTTATTGCTTTGGTTATGACGAATTAGCCTGACTTTATTGGATTTATGAAGTCGGTTTCATAACTACAACTTGAGCATACTCGTAATAAATTTATTAGTGTTCTAGTAATATTAGTAGTATTATATAGTATTGTTCTACTAGTGAAATATAAATACCGTAAATCGGGGTTACTTTATCCGTTTTTAATGGTCTCTGAAGAATTTTCAACAAAATTTTTATAAAATTGAGAGATATCTTTATTTACTTAAATCCTATTTGTAAAGAATACTTTAAACAATTATGGTTTATATACATTAAGCTCAAAAATAACGAAATATTGTTATTTTTTTCATTTGAAATGTGGAGCAAAGCTTTCCATAACCAAAGGTTACTTTGCCCTACATAATAAAATAACGTCTAATCGCTAGTTTTTACATCACTGGTGCGATGTTAAGCATACATTTTGTTTAATGTTCCCCATCTCAGAAAATAAATTTAAAAAACGCGGAAAAAAATATGTTTTTAGAATTGATTGCAGAAAACTAAAACATGTTTTGGATTATACTAATAAATTACAACAAAAATATGGTAAGGTACCTCATAAAATGTAACTAGATGTACCTTTCAAAAACTTAAGAACTAGGAATGCAAATATTCAACGAAAAACAGTTTTTTAAAACTTAATAAGGTTTTAGAAACAAATACCTAATATGTGTATTGAATGTAGCGTTGTACCAAAATGTGCAACTGCATATTTAGTCACAGTACGAACAAACCAGCTCAGGCACAGAAAAGGTACCCCTTTTTGTTACTTGTTTGGGAGGTTTAATAGATCCAAGAACATCGGACCAAGAGTATGTAAGTTGATCTTTCTTTGGAGGTCACTTTCACATTTTTAGCGATTTTTGCATTGCATTTATTATTACTTCATCAGTGTTAAAAGAAATAATTTGTCCAGGATAGACCTGTCCTTCGAAAGAAAAGACCACAAAACATCCAACTTCTCTTAACCACCGTATCAAAATGTAAATGATTTGTTTGATAGTATTTATCTTCTACAAAATTTCTGAATTCTCTTTCTTTCTCTTGCTCTTTTTCAATTTCATCGAAGTTAAGATCGTCCGATGAATCATGATTTAAACTAAGTGTGTCCTCTCCCCTAAAAGTAGAAGATCTGGCATCTGCTCGTCATTTGCTGTAGTGGAGGTCGTAGGTTCTTTCTACTATAAAGGGAGTTTTCTTAGAATGCCAATATCTATATAGGTAAGGTGGTTTCTTTGAAGTAGGTTTTATCAGAAAGTTTGAGAGGGGTTTGCATAGCTTTGGCTTGTATGATAATTAAGGGTTTGATTTTAGTGAGAGCCCCCACCAAAGTGGCGTGGCAAGTAGCAAGTAGCACGCGTCTAGCATAATGTAACCAATCATAACGAATGATTAGAATGAATGACGTTACTGTCATTTTGGTGTAAACTGAATCATTCGTTTTCATTGGTTACATTATGCTAGACGCGTGCTACTTGCCACTGCCACGTCACTTTGGTGGGCGCTCTTACTTAGGTACCCTAAACATATTTTTAGACATTTATTTTGTTGTGCTTCCATTTTATTTAGATGTGTATCTGTTGTGGTTTCATACAGCCGACCGTTGTGGTTGCATAGTATATTATTGATCCTACCATTTTTTTGCAAAACATTACAGCCCCCATAATATTTATAGAATTATTTGTTTTTTAAATAATTTGGTGAATGTAATCTTTCCGTAATAGTTTTCTATCTAAGTACAGGCCAAGGTATTTTACATAATTAATAAAAGATAATTTATATTTTCCCATGGTTATTTGTTTCTGATAATTGTTTTTTATTTCTAGATAAGATACAGGTATTGGTTTTAGATTCGGATATGGAAAGTCCGGTGTTATCTAATCATTTTTGAATTTTGATAAATTTAGTGGTAATATTTTTTATACATTTGTCCTCAATTTTATCGCTAGTGTAAATGACGACGTCATCGGCGTATTGAGAAATTTTGGATTTTTGTGAAATATTTTTTTTTTCTCCACCTAAAACTTTTAATCTTAACATAAATGTTTAGGTAGATAATAAACAATCAGTAATAGGATTGGCAATTCAAGTATTATGACATTCAGGGAGGCATCCAGTGATGTACTTCTTTTTCAAACTTAGTCCTCAATATTGATTATATTTGGCACATATTTATACACATTTAGTATTAATCAATTAACTCTAATGGAAATTTTGGAGGTTGGCAATCATAATGGCTATTTTTATTTTAGAACTTGCTGCTCTAAACAAATCAATCGATCTGCATTGATACCAATCACGTAGATTCTTTAACCATGAGTTTTGCCTTCGGCCAACAGATCTTCTTTCTTGAATCTTTCCCTGTATTATGAGTCTCAAAATTTCATATTTTGGTCCCCTCATCACGTGGCCTAGGTATTCCAGTTTTCTGGTTTGTATAGTGGTTATTAGTTCTTTTTCTTTACCAAACCTCTCCAGTACTTCTTTATTTGTAATTCTATCAGTCCATGATATTTTCAATACTCCGCGGTATATCTAGAGTTCGAAGGCCTCGATTCTTTTTAAATTACATGTTTTTTAATGTCCAAGTCTCAGCTCCCTATAATAATATTAAAAATATATAACAGCGAATGGTACGTAGTCTGATCTCCAAATTTACACTTTTGCGCGTTAGGAGTGGCTTCATTCGTATAAATGCTTATCTGGCAATCTCTATTCGCCTGTTTATTTCTACAGTATGATCATTGGTTTCATTGATTAAAGTTCCCAAGTACTGATATTTTTCTACTTGTTCTATCACGTTACCATTGATTGTCAATAGGTGATGTATATTTTGTGGTCTTTTTGTAATTAGCATGTACTTCGTTTTTTTTTTTAGCGTTTATAGTAATTCCCATCTAAGCACTATTCATATTCAAGCTTTCGATAAGATGTAGATCCTCTATACTCGTTGCTGTCACAGTGTCGTCTGCATATATTAAGTTGTTAATTAATTTTCCGTTAACGGTGACTCCCGCTTCGATATTAGTGAGCGTGTTGTGAAAAATTTCTTTAGAATGTAAGTTAAACAAAAGTGGCGATAAAACACATTCCTATCTAACTCCTCTACAGATCCTCATTTCTTCTGAGTGTTGCCCATCAATTTGAACTATGGCACTTTGGTTCCAATATAATTTTTGCACTATATTTATGATTTTACTGTCAATGCGCTTGTTCATAAGTATTGATATTAGTTTTTCATTTCTTACTTTATCGAAAGCTTTTCCGTAGTCAACGAAGTACAAGTGTAGATACACATTTACATCCCGACATCGCTGAATCAATATGTTAATGGCAAATAGTCCTTCTCGAGTACCCATTCCATTTCCGAACCCGAACTGCGTCTCGCTAATATCTTCCTCTAGCCTTTCGTATATTCTCTTATGTATTACTTTTAGCAGAACTTTTAAAGTATGACTCATGAGGCTCAGTGTTCGATAATCAGAGCACTTTTTTGCTGCTTGTTTTTTAGGGATGGTTATAAATGCTGACTTCAGCCAGCCTCTGGTGGTATTATTCCCGTATCGTACACCGTGTTGAATAAATCTGCCAATACTTCCAAGTTATTCTCTTCCACTAGTTTTAACAGTTCTACTGGTATTTCATCTAATCCAGCTGCCTTATTGTCTTTAGAGTTTTTGATAGCTTCGAACTGTATGTAGCTTATTCACTAAACATTCTGCGAACACATTTGGGTGCACTTTAAGCTTCTCTGTATATTTTTTCGCGCACTTTTCCATAGCGTTGTTGATGGATGGCTTCATTGGTAATGAACAGTGGAACTTCTAGTACTGTTCTTAATATTTTGGATTGAAATCTTTGTATTGTTTCAATATTGGAATGTACGGTGCTTTCCCTTAATTCTAATCCATAAGTCCAAACTGGTTTCAGGATAGATTTGTAGATTAATATTTTACTTTCAGTTGATAGTTTTGATTTTCTGCCTAACAATCAATACATGTTCCTCAACTTATAAGCTAGTTGTTTTCGCTTGGTAAATATATACTTCTCCCAGTTTAATCTTCTGTCCAAATTTGACTTCTTAGATATTTGACTTCATCCCCTTGTAGGATTCGTTTACTATTTAAGTGGACAGTGGGACGTGTTTCCCTACGCGTGTTGAATGTTTGGTGTAGTGAATTATTTTTATTTATTTTAACTCACCATTATGTCATCTGTTGACGTATTTTATTTACAAGTTATTTTGTAGAATTTCTGAAACTATTTTTTCATTCGAAAAATTCGCTGTATCATTCGAAAATGTGGCTGTGGTGATATTTGTAACTATCGTTAGGTCAGCAGTGAATATAAGGTACAATATGGGTCTAGAGCGCTTCCTTGGGGCATCACAGCGAGAATTTGTTGTATGCTTATATATTGTTTTTTGCTATTTTACCTTGAAGTTGCTGCTGGTGCTATAGGAATTTAAGATTATATAGTAATTGGTAGGTTAATTCTGTTTTAGTTTACATAAGAGACCTTTATGCCAGACTTTATCAAATGTCTGGCTTATGTACAGAAATATCACTGAGCAGTACCTATTATTTTCAAAGTCTTCATTGATTGATTGTTTGATTCCTGTTGTATTAATTGGTTTTGAAATTGGTTTGAAGTATTTTTCGTTTATTCCTTTCTATACTGCAAGCCACTATGTTGGTTGGCACCCTTGTGGATACTATGTTTAGGATATCTATTCTTCTTCTTTAAGTTCCATCTTCTATCGAAGGTTGGAAATCATCATGGATATGCGGACTCTGTTGACTGCCGCTCTAAAATATTCTGCACTACTGCATTCAAACCATTCCCTTAAGTTTTTAAGCCAGGATATTCTTCGTCTTCCCACATTTCGCTTTTCTCGGATTTTGCCTTGCATAATGTTTTAATAATTCGTATTTTTGCCCTCTCATTACATGTCCTAAGTACTCAAGTTTTCGTCTTTTGATAGTTAATATTATTTCCGCCTCATTTCCTATCCTTCTAGTTACTTCCACGTTTGACATTCTTTTAACCCATGATATTCGCAGGATTCTTCTGTGTCATTCAAACTCAAAGGCAGCCAACTTATTCAGATGGACTTGTTTTAGTGTCCACGCTTCCAAGCCATAAAGAAGAGTAGAGAACACGTAACATCGAAGCATTCTCAGGCGTAGTTCTAACCTTATATCCCGACAACAAAGAAACTTTTTAAGTTTAATGAATGATAAACGTTCTATTTCAATACGTGTCTTAATTTCTTTGGTTTGGTCTATATCTGATGTTATCAATGTTCCTAAGTGTTTATAGTTATTAACATTTTGCAGTATCTTCAATAGTCAATTGGATATTTGCATGTGCAGATTTAGTCATGATTTCTTTTTGCAGTTCACATCCTTTGGTATAATTAAGTCTAGGGTCCCACATTAGATGTTTTGAATTGTAGTCTCCGCCACAATAAACCTAGGCCCAAGTGTGCTTTAAATTCTGATTTTTTAATTGAATGTTTTGGTGGATAAATATATAGCTGAACAGGTTATAGGTCCTGTCCAGTCTTCTACAGCTACATTTGTGGCTGGAATATGTGACTTTTGATATTGGGCTATCTGGTAATGTTTAATGTTGTTTCTTATAATTATTGCTATCCCACCGTATGCAGTTCCATCTGGAAGGGTTGTGTGATATATTTTATAGTTGTGAAATTTTATGAAACTTTTTTTCGTGAAGTGTGTTTCTGAAATCAGTATTATGTCTAGTTGATAATTAATAATAAATGCATACAACTTATGTTTGTGTTTTGTCAAGCCATTAGCATTCCCTAATGCAAAATTTACTGAATTAGTCATTAGTTAATTTTTGAGACTCCTTTATGTCATTTGTGTGAGTGACCGTTGAAATCTCTTGTTGGTTGGTATTTACCATTGGTTGGTTTTGTACTTGATTCGGCGACCCTTTCTCTCGTAAAGTTGGAAATCTCGCTTTCTGCAGTTGTTCATATACACTGCATCATCTGTAATTAGCTCGGTAGTTCGCAAAATACACATTTTACTAAATCAGATCGAATTTTCCTAGGCCATTCAGTTGTTGGGTGATTTAGATCACATCTCTGAAACTTTTTGTGTGACCACATCTTTGGCATCTAATACATTTTACTAATTCTCTTTTTATTCTTGGAGCTTCGACATCAATGTTTTTATATTGCATTTTCTTACATTAAACACAGTGGTAGGGTTTTTTTGTAGTTATTTGTAGTATATTCGTTATTTGCAGAACGATATGTGCTTGGCTTTCTATTTCTTTTTTAATTTCTTGTATATCCATCGAATGTAATCACTTGTCTTGCTTCTTGGGATATGTATGATATTCGGTTTTTTTCTCATGAAGTGCTTTTACTATACTGTCATATATTTCGGACCTGTACCTTGACTTGTTCTTCATTCAACACTCTGATTAAACGTTTATCTTTGGCTATAGTGTTTAATAGTTGGTTTAGTGGTCTGATGTTTGTAATACCGGCAATAAATATCGGTGGGGTTTTATCTTCCTGTTTTTTTGCCACCTAGGTCTCTGCTTCTTCATTAATTAATATACTTAGTGACCATAGAAGTGTTACACCCAGAAGGAATAATTTCTTGAACTTAATTTTTTGGCAACATGGTAGATTTACATCAAGAATGAAACGATAACGTTGGCAATAATTTTTACTGACAAGTAATACAAACATAATAATGTGTTTGGCGACCCCATAGCTGAATACACTTCTGTATACGTCGAGGCATTGATAAAATGAGATTATCGATGTCTGCGTGTGGCACCTCGCTCCAAGCAACTTGAACTCATGTATAAACTGTGCCAGATTCTATGGAGAATTGTGCAAAGTGGACAGTCTCCTTCCATCATATCCCATACATGTTCGATAGGATTTAAATCCGGAGCACGGGGCGGCCACGGCAAAACATTAACGCCAGCTTCTTGGAGAAAGTCCATAGTTTGACGAGCAGTATGGGGACGCGCGTTGTCTTGCTGAAAAAGGGCGTCTCGGCGGCCGTCGAGATAAGGCAGTAAAGTGGTTTGTAAGATATCATCAACATAACGCGCAGCTGCCTCGAATCTGTGATCGGCTACCATAGGCAATAGCCCTCCAAACCATTACTCCAACTGGCCTGTGTACATGCCTCTCAACAGCAAACCTGATATCTCGTCGATCTCCACTGCGGTGTCTTACCATCCTACGAGTATCATGCATTCCTAAACAGAATCGTGATTCATCGCTGAATGCTGCTTCATTACGCTATTTAACCACCCAATACTGCCCTTTCTCTGCATCAATTCAAGCGTTGATGACAGTAGTCCGCAGTCAAAGGAAGCACTAGTCGTGGGCGGAATGAAACTCGTCCAAAGATTCGAATGTGACGGTATAGTATACGCATACTAACAGGTCCACCTACTACTCTAAATATACCTGTTAGCAAAGTTATGGTCGTGCGAGGAAGTTGTTTTAGTACTTGTGTCGAGATTAAATCATAACCTGGGGCCTTTCGTGAATTGAGTTTGTTTATTTCTTTCCTGACTTCTATAGGAGTAAAACTTTTAATTGGGAGTGACATTTGACATGCTGCGCTAATTAGTTCTTCCACTTCTTCATCAGGGTCTGCTGGCTCTGTTTGAAATACGTTTGTAAGATGTTCAGCAAAAACGTCCGCTTTTTCTTTGTTGGAACAGGCCCATTCGCCATTTGGTTTACGGATGGGAGGAATGGTTGTGTATGGTTTCTTTAGCTTCTTAGTGGCCTTCCATAACGTCTGGTCATTTGCTGTAAGATTTTTAATGTAATGTTCGAAGGTTTCGTTGTTTGCGGCTTTGATGGCTACTCCAAGTTGCCTTCGTAGTCTATTGAATATATGTAGGTCTATGTTATTTCTAGATCTTTGCCAAGTTCTCCTCGCTCGACGTTTTTCAGCAATGAGTTGGCGAATGTGCAGGGAAATAAGTAGAAGATCCGTTTAGAATTTTAAACTACTATGTTAGCCTTTTTGTTGTCTGTCTAGGGTCTAAATTATCGACCAAGATCATTCACATTGAAGTGAATGCGGTTCGGCCGCCTGGCCTACTTGACTATCTTAACGACAGTGCATTTAATACCATAACAAAATGCATTTGTACAGTTTTCTGTTAAAATTCTAGTAGAATTGAATTATAATTCACTTCATCAACGCGTAACTATATGATTTAAATTTTTGTAGGTGTTCCTGTTCCAGTTCCTACTAGTCCTGTTGCACAACTCACCTACAACGGTCAACCTCATCCTCCAGGAGTGGACATAAGTGAATTGGCACCAACAAACCCGCAACCACCAGTAAGTTTTGATTTGGTTAGAATAGATTGTTTTGTACAGTTTTACTTTGTTTTACAGGATCTCGATTCTGCTTTGGATTCGTTCTATTCCGATATTGCAGCTATAACTTCGTCTCCAAAACCACCACCTCAACAAGAAGAAGAAAACGTTTCTCCTGTTGAACTTCCAATAGAGACTGTTAAGAAAAAGAAGAAACCAAAGGTGTGTATGGTTTGTAATATAGTTTTTGTTAGAACAAGTATAAATAAGTATAAAGCGAAGCTTCAAAAATTCCATTTCCATACAGATATCGGGAAAACTTGTTCGAAGAGATAAGTTTAAAAAAGCTGGTAATCAAATCCTGATCAGAATAAAATTTAACAACTGCAAAAGACTAAATGGTACTCATAAAACCTCAGCTTTACGACGGATTCACTAGAAGCTGATTTTTCCGGTGCTATAGTTAGTTATTAAAAGAAAGCGAACAAAATTAGGACAATATGAAGAGTAATTCAACAGACTACAGTCCCTGGCCATATTATTATGAGTACCCATCGTATTTAAGAAATTTATATTTAAGATTTTTATTTTAGCGTAAATATATGCCGAATTGAGTTTAATTATGGTTTAATATAAATTTTTACATTTCAAGTACCTTTAAAAATTTTAAAGTGTTTGTTTGTCTTTGTGTAGTGTATTGTTATGTCCCATTTTACATTTATGACATTCTGCTCTTGTCGGATAGGCCACAACTGACGAAATGCCCCTGAGGATGATCTAGTGATCGAAAGTACTTGGGCAAGATTTAATTAATACTGTGTTCGATATTTGCCTTTTATACCATCAAAGATAATTGTTTTAATTGAAAAACTAATATCATTGGAACCACAACGAAAAGTTGAAGCAAAGTGCCTTTAGCTGCATTGAAAGTATGCCGAGACGGGTACAAGCGGTAGTCAAAGCCAAAGGGGGCTCAACAAAATATTAAAAATGATATAAATATGTAATCTTCTAAAATGTTTTATTGCTGATTATTTTTAAATATATTATATTTAAAGCATTTTACATAAAAAAGTTGAATTTCAAAATAAATTTCTAAACAAAAAGTTATGAAGAGGTCAATTTTTGTAAAAAATCATATGTGGTCATAATAATATGGCCAGGGACTGTAGGACAATCAAATTTGTGCTTGACTTCTGTGTGGCACTTTCTCTCTGTGGACGTAGACTATAATTTATTTCAGTGATTTTTTAGATAAGCTTTTTTTAGATAACAATCCGTCATACAAAATATTCTTTAATAGAAATATGGCGCCGGCATTCACATTCATCAGGCGACGAACAGTTTGCCAGCTGACAGATAGTTGATAGTTCTGTGACCAAACAGGACAGGTTCGGCGTCGGGATTATGACGGGACTGATGTGTCTGAATCGACCTTTAGTGATTTTTCTGATTATTATAGTAGTGAGGGTAATTTGGAGCTATTAGCCGAACCTAGGGTGAAAAACCAGAATTATTTAGGTAGATTGTCACCAAATTATGTTAGTTGTCTAAAAATCGTTCCAGGATCAATTTCCAAATTATCGTCATCAGACGATACAAATGATGAACATGCGCATTAAAAACGGTGCAAGTAGTTTTCGTGACGCTTTCCGACAAAAATTGCGTGTTGGAACAAACCTTATAACTTCTGATCTATATATATATATATATATATATATATATATATATATATATATATATATATATATATATATATATATATATATATCGGTTTTAAAACGTTCTCCTACGTCTTCCGATGCCTAGTCTCCATTCACTTCGGTCCATCCAAAGGTCTTCATCTAATTCTCTTTCTCTCATACTTCGATTTATGCCTTCTCTCCAACTAAGGCGGGATCTTCCTCTTTTTCGTCTACCATGAGGGGTCCACGTTAGGATTTGTTTCGGGAGTCGTGCTTCGGACATTCTTTGTACGTGTCCATACCATCTAAGCTGTTTGGTACTAATGTCATCTACTATTGTGTGTTTCACATTCATTATTTCCCTAATTCTGTTGTTAGTTACCCTTTCTAATCTTGATTTTCCTGCTGAGCGCCTCCAGAAATCCATTTCTGTTGCTTCAAGTTTTCTCTTGTATCTTTCTTTTATTTGTCATACTTCACTGCTGTAAGTGATTATACTCTTAACAATTGTATTGTATATTCTTCTGTTTGTTGTTGTTTGATATTGCCTGGTCCCACAGTATGCTATTGAGAAGGGTAATTGCTTTTCTTCCCTGGTTGTTTCTTTCTTCTATCGTCCGGTCTACGTTTCCTTCTTGTGTGATGGTCATACCCAGGTATTTATATGCGTCGCAATGTTTAATAATTTGGCCATTCCCCAGTGTAAGGTCCTGCTGTGTCCCACCGATACACATATATTCGGTCTTTTTTATGTTTATTTCCAAACCACCTTTTTTGTACTCCTCTATTAATTTCCTTGTCATATATTCTGATCTACTTAAAATAAAAACCTGGTCCGAGTCTAATTTACTCTCTTTTAACGTGGATAAGACAGTAGCATTATCCTATAAAGGAGCTCTTCAACCCTTGCTTCTTAATAACGGCCAGATCAGTATCGTTGATTATGTTCTTGGTATTTTTATAGACAGCAACCTTAAATGGTCCATTCATATCGATTTGTTAAGTAAGAAACTAGCCTCAGCCTGCTATGCAATAAGATCTGTCTCGAAGGAAATCAATTTAGCATCTTCCATGGACGTATAAATGTCCATGGCATCTTCCAAAATAATATATTTTTCGTTGTTCGAGTCTCATCTTCAATTGCCTTCCTTTTTGGGTTCTAGTACATCTGCATAATCTGATGTTCTTTTTAAATTACAAAAAAGAGCAGTACGGTATCTTTTTGGCTTCAGTAGAATAACACATTGCAAAAACGAATTCAAAAATCACGGGATTTTAACTCTTCCCTCTTTATATATTCTAGAAACGGTTTGCTTAATTCGTAAACACCTACATGATTTTCCAGCAAGACATAATCATGACTACCCCACCAGAAATTCAATCTTTTATGTGTATTTACCGATCCTGTACACTGAGCTAGTAAAGAAATCTATATTATATTTGGAAAAAAAATTATAAAACTATCTCCCTTTATAACTTAAATCTACAACTTTTTTCCTTAAGTTCCTTAAATTGTCAAAGCAATTGTCAAGAAACTAAATTTTTATATACAGGGTGAGTGGGGAGGAACGCACCAAACTTTAAGACTGTATAATATACGTAAAAATAAGTAAAAATAACTCATATGTTGTTATTCGATTTTCATTTGTTTTCGAGTTATAGCGATAATAACACAAAGTTGTAACTTAACATTAATTTAATGTTAAATGTTCTTATAATAAATTTTCAAAAAATACCACCATTGACCTGTAAGCATTTTCTGCTTCGTCTATGAACATTCAACGTTACTCTTCTGATTGCGTCATGGTTTGCTCTAATTGTGGCTGCAACATTTTTAATGCGTCGAATTAGTGCATCGCGAGTGTCGACTTTTACCTTGTAAACTTCATTTTTAAACCAGCCCCATAAAAAATAGTCTAATGGTGTTAGGTCTGGAGACCTCGGAGGCCAACTAATAGGACCATTGCGACCAATCCAACGCCTTGGAAATTTTGTATTTAAATGTTGCCTGACCTGACGAGCAAAATGTGCAGGAGCTCCATCGTGCTGATAATACATTTGCATTCTGATATTTAGTGGAATGTTCTGTAGGAGTCCTGGCAATTAATTCTGTAAAAAATTCAAGTACTCCTCTCCTGTAAGGCGGTTCTCAAATATGAAAGGGCCAATTAAATAACCGTCGATCACACCACACCACACGTTTACCGAAAATTTGTGCTGAAAACTAGCTTCAATTGTTGCATGTGGATTTTCATCTGACCATACATGTGAGTTGCGGCTATTATTAATACCGTCTCTGGTGAATGTTGCTTCATCGGTAAAAAGTATGCGGGATATAACACGACGATTATTATTTATCCATCGACAAAATTGCATTCGGCTGGCATAATCTTCTGGTTGTAGGTGCTGTACACGTTGTAGGTGGTATGGATATAAACCTTGCTCGTGAAGTGTGTTAATTACTCTCGTTTGAGGAATGGCTAAATGAGTACCGATTCTTCGTGAGCTGATCCCTGGATCATCTTCTACTGAATCCAGAATATTTTTTATTTCTTGTAAACTTTGTCGGGGAGCACGTTCCGATATTATTTTATAACTAGGAAGCGTTCCGGTCTCGCATAGTTTGTTGAAAACTCTAATAAATACATTTTTATCTGGAGTTCTCCGATTTGGAAACCGTTGACGATATTCTTCAACAGCAGCTCTACCGTTTCCATTACAAAAGCCATAAACAAACACCATATTTGCATAATCACTATTTGAATAAGTATGTGGCATTTTGCAACAACTTTTTTTATACAAACTGTCAAATAGACATTAAATCACGTTGACACTACACTATTATGACAGTTAACTAATTATTAAACGAATCACAGATACCTGTTACAGCAACGTGATAAGTAGCAGTAAAATTACAACTTTGTGTTATTATCGCTATAACTCGAAAACAAATGAAAATCGAATAACAACATATGAGTTATTTTTACTTATTTTTACGTATATTATACAGTCTTAAAGTTTGGTGCGTTCCTCCCCACTCACCCTGTATATTTGGGTATTACATGCAGCAGCAAACTTATTCGTAAACTAGTTCGTAATGGATTTTGCAATGGATTGTATATTTTATTATCTTTTATTTTGTGATTCTGTGATATTGACAATTTATGTAATTGTAGTAAATTTTAATTGTTATTGTTATTGTTTTTTTTTTACTTTTTGTAAGCTTTGTCCATAAAATTGTACAATTTTCAGTGCCAATAAAGCATATTTATATTTTATTCTGTTGGTCAAGAATATGAATCATTTGGGAAAAGCCAACGGTCGGCAAGATCGCTACAAAAACATCTTAGAGATGGCAAAATAGATATATGGTTCGAGCTAATGCATAATATGAAAGTGAAGATGAAAGATTGGCGACAAAATGACGGAAAAGAAAATTAATAAAGAATTAAAGGCCCTAAAGAGAATTAAGAAATTTTGTGGAAACTATAATATGTCTTAAAGAACTTGGTGAAACAAAAAATCAGCTCTGTAACTTCATTTATTAATTTATGTCACTCTTAAAATGACTAAATTGCATTCTTTGTATGTAAATTGGTCAACGTTATCTTGGTCAGGTAAATTATACTAATGTATTCAATTGAACTAAAACATTCACATGAAACATGAAAAAAACATTAAAACTGTTTTCGCTTTTCATTGTTTTATATTAGTACTATCTAAAGTTATTATTTATTTTGTTATATATTTCCATATTTTGTTTTATTTCAGGTGAAATTGGCACAAGGATTAACAATGAAGAAAAAAGGAGTATCTCAGTTGGTAGAGAAATGGAAAAATGTACAGCAAGAATATAATAATTAATGTAAATAAATTATTTTTACTGTTTTAATCTGAGTTTTTTTAATCGATCCCAGATATCTCTCACCAATGATTGGAATACTTTGCCCCATACACAAAAATGAGATATCTTTGAATGCTCTAACCATAGAGGATTTACACTTCTAAATGCAGCGTATAAAATATTTTCCACAGTACTATGTCACAGTAAGCACCATATGCAGAACGGATAGTAGGAAAATACCAGACTATATTCGTTGTTCGCACTGTATGAGTGCAACTAGGTCCTATTGTCCTCGAAGACATACCGTCTCAGGACTAGCAACTTCAACGTGGAGTCATATGTCGCCATGTTACCTAATCCATCGGTAACTCTATAATCTTAAATTATTATAACATATTCTTAAAACTAAATGTAATTAAACATCTGTTAACGGGTTTTTACCCACATATTTAATCTTGGTGGCTACATTCATGTACTCCTAGATACTGATGATGGAACATGGTTTCCGAAAACGTTTGTCTTTTTAACTTAGCCCGTTTGGGCCTTAAATATATACCTATTACAAAGGATTTTTAATTAAATTTTTAATACATGGTATACAGCCAACTACAGGAACGTAGATTCCTTGTGAATCATAATTCTATATTCTATAATTTTCCACAAAATTACGAATATTACCGGTATCAACGGTTTGAGGAGATGTCTCAGCAGACAACCTGGGGGTGAGTGTAATAGGTGAATAATTACTGGTGCTTCTAAAGTTGTAATCATTTGAGTATAAAAAACAGTTGTTGGGAATAGTAGCTAGAGGATTATTACAATGTTAATTCTCAGTATGCTGGCTACTGTGACTGGAACTTGGTGATGGAAGAGATGTTGACGAGTAATGGGGCTGCTGAATATGGGTATTAACATATGCACTTGTAAAAACCCTTTGTTCACTATGAGTGTAGTTTTCTTGACTGGGTTCATGAATTTCTAGATATGCAGCTTCGAGCTGCAATATAGCTTGGAACACATCATTTCTTGCACAATGTTGAAATTTAGGCATTTTTTTGGTTATTTTGTACATCGACATATACAAATGATAGAGATCATCATCCAAAGGCTTCTGTGTTGTCCTTTCAACTGCTCTTTCTTCGGCCCTTTTTTGACGTTGCATAATTGACTGCTTTATCACTTCCTGTATATGATCATTTTTAGGTTTCTTATTTTTAGCTACTTTGGTTATGATTGATTGGTCTTTAGTTGCCTTACGTTTGGTATTTTCTTTTTCGTTATTTTTTTGTATAACAATACCAGACGTAGACGGCTCATTACAATGTCATTTGTAACACTCTCGATTTTGTCGGTATCATGTCGAATGTCGCTGGTCACCTCGTCAAAAATTTCACTCTCTGGATCAACTATGGAGTCTTCCTGTTGTGGGTCTTCATCTTCACTATCTTCTTGTAAATTAGTTATTTAATTTAAATAATTGGGATCGTTGATATCGTAAATAATTCTCTGGCTTCTCACCAATTCTATTAATTGTTCATTCATTTCGAATATAACCACACAAAATTTTACTAGAAACAAACAAACTGCTCTGCACGTGGCACAGGAATCTGTGTCCGGACGACTGTGCTGGCAGGTTTTCCTAAACACAGTTCTGTGCTGCCCTGCCCTGCGTTCCAATTCGCGCGGCGTAATGTAATTGTACGGAAAACAGAAACCTGTGCTGTCCTAGGCTGCGCTGCCTGCGTCTGAATGTGCGGCGCGCCTTAAAGGTGCCATGCAAATGATTTTCTTAGGATATCGGGTCTGCATGGTCTGAAGGAATCTGGGCTCAGTGTACAGCGCCGTTTTATTGGCGGCGGCTGTACATAGGGGTTCAGGACCCTCTCAGCTGACGGCAACGTTCACGACAATTACAAGAGTGTGCTATATTTCTAATTATCTAAGTTGCACCAAAATCGCTGTTAACACCGTGAAGAAGTCGTTTTAGGAATATTTTGCCACCAATAACAACCAACCGAATCGTCGTACATTGTCAACACAAGCTTCCTCATCATACAACGAAGAAAAGCACAAACATAATAACTTTAGTGCTAGCCAGATGTGGTCTAAGCTGGTAGCAGGAAATAAAAGACTGCTGATAATTTTTAATAAAATTTAGTACACAGTAAAATTATTTTATTGCTTTTATTTTCAACAACGTTTGGATACACAGTTTTTAACTAATCTATAATCGATTATTTTTATCAGTTGATCAGAGTATTAAAAATAGTAAATATCTAATTTTTTTACTCGCATTAAACAAGATTGTCTTTATATGTCATTGTTAGAGCTTGATAACTCTGTCAACTGATACGTTACATGTTTTTAAGAGTTACACGATAAAATAGAAAATAAAAGAAGCATTTTTTTACAAAAAGATCACAAAATTAACTATAAAAACAAACGAAACATCAATTAAAACACTGATCTAATACAATACTTTTTCAGTAATGTTTATATAACAGCAGAGTTGAACCAACTCTATATAAGTCTCAAAATTAGTCGTTGATAATTTTGGCACCATTCATTTTTATATAGACAATTTGTACAAAGACACTTCAAAAGATGCATCAGTCTCAGTAGCAAAACAAAAACATGCAATCTATGAGGTGAGGTAGAACCAATTCTTTTATGAGCAAACGTAGAAAAGGCTCCCAACCAATTAAGAAACAATAAAAAACTTAGGGGTAGATGGCATACCAGCGGAGACTCTGAAAGCAATGGGCGAAATTGACGTAGATGTAATACTCAGATCTAAGATAAATGGTCTAATGAGTGGTGCATATCAACCTTTATCTCTATCCATAAGAAAGAATCACTAACTGTATGCAGCAATTACAGAACCATTGCCCTTAATCCTGACGCAAGCATAATTCGGCTACGTACAATTATAAACATCTAAATAACTTTCTACTCCCAAAGATCGCCGAAGAACACTACAGATTCGTACCAGGGAAAGGAACGCGTGAGAAGATATTGAACACCAGACAGGTAATAGAAAAAGCGATAGAAGACAATATGCGAATGCTGCCTTGTTTCATGTATTACACAAAGGCTTTTGTTTCAGTAAAATAAGATCACCTCAGGAGTACAATGAGATATATGGAAGTGCCTAACTACCTAGTTGACCTAATAAAAAATCTGTTTGATAAATACTCACTAAAAGCGAAAGTAAAAGTAAACAATACACTTATTCAACTGCATTCAAAACAAAACAAAAAAGAACTAGACAGGGTTGCATACTATCATCATTATTATACAAAATATACTCTGAATAGGAATATAATCGGAAAGTATAGTACTGCCATCTTTCTAAGAGACCCATTAAAATTCAGCATAAACATGGGATCATTCTTTAGAAGATCATTGTTTATAGAATTTCACACCTCGAACAATTGCATTCCTTTGAGCTGAATAGTCTATTAGAAGGATGGTACTACTATACTAGATGAGTGGGATAGAAGGATCACTATATGAGGCAGAAAAATCAGTATCCTGCGATACGGAAATGACACACTAATACTAGCAGCAAACGAAAACGAAATGACTACCATCGTTGAACGGCTAATAGCTCATCAGAAACCGCTAAATTAATTAAAATATGGAAAGACCGAACAAAAACAAGTAGGATTAAGTGTCCTTATTTTCCCCTACATACGCGGCTGAAACATTAACTCTCAAAAAAATTCTGGAAGAGCTTAATGATAACGACAGACTATTAAAAAAAAATGAACCAAGCATAAATACTAGATTATTTTGGGCGTATAACCACAAAAACTTGGACTACGGAACTATTGTTAGTAGAAGGAAAGGTAGAAGGCCAAAAGGAAGATGGACAAACCAAATAAAGACTCTGGTAGCATTCCTACATGAAATGTGCAAATATTTCTGGTGTCACAAATATCGAGACAAAATCATTTCAGATATTAGAAAACATAGAAGAAGAAAATCCACGGAAAAATTAAATATAAACAAACAAAATAGCAAACTAGACGTAAATATATCTAAAACAACAAAAAAGGATGTAAAAACACGAAATATATGAGAAAGTAGCAAGAACAATAGAACATAACAAAGTATGAAAATTCTAAGAAGGCAGGTGGTAAATGGAATTTAAAGACATATATTTCAGGCCAAACAGACAATATTTGTTACAATATTCTGACCTCAGGCCATATAATTTAGGTCAAAATACAAAACGGAATAATATCAAACAGAGAGAGAATCATACAAATTGCTCAAATAACCCATCTTAGTAATGCTATCATGACACCAGTTTTTTTTTTCAAGTATTCATTTTCAACAAAACAAATATCTTATATTTGCACTTTGAACATGCAAATATATCAAATTATTTGAGCATAAATTGAAAAAAATTTAAATTAAGTAATTTAAAATTTTTTACATACTACAACTCCAAAGCTGCACTGTCGTATTAAATAGAGGCTATTCTGATTAATATAATAATAATAATAATAAAATTGTTGGCTCAACTCTAGTTTAATATCTTCCACCATTTTTAATTTAAAATATCCATGATCATGGATTTCATCACAGTTATTTGAAAAATACTTCCAAGAAAAAACGTAAAATATACAATATATATGTTAAAAAAATTATTGGATACTAGACAATTGTCGCAACGATATAATTATATTAAAAATGTCAATATTGTTAAAGTTTTATGCAATATTTTTTTATGATTCCTTGTTTCAATATTTCCGTCAATCTATGCTTCGCATTAGCGATACAGAACAAATCTTGGATTCTAAACAATTGTAAAAAGCACAAAGAAGTCTCAGTAAGACCGTTGTTTTATGTTCCTAGCTTCTTTGTTTTTTAACACTTACTTTTATCATTCATTACGATAAATATTCTTTTGTATTTTCTTAGATGCTTCCAAGTATGACCAATCATATCTTTTCTTCTTTCTTCTTAGCCTTCTGTCGTCCATGTTTGGACATAGACCTCTCCCAACTCCTTCCATTGGTCTCTATCCTGAGCAACATATTTCCAATTTGTTCCGGCTATTCTTCTAATGTCATCAACCCATCTCATCTGTGGTCTTCCTCTTGGTCGTTTACTTTCGTAAGGTCTCCAATGTTGTATTGTATTATTCCAACGTTGGTCTTTCTGTCTGGCAGTGTGGCTTGCGAAGCTCCATTTATCATATCCGTTAATTTTTCGTTTAGTAGAACACATCCGTTGAACAACATTATAAAGTTAAATCAAAGAAGTCCAAAAGAAAGATGTGAGTTTAGAAACTAGGTATAAAATACCAGAAACGAAAGACAAATGTTTTTCGGCATCACTATGGCGTGGTCGAATTGTGGTTGATCTGGCTACGGTGACGAGGTCGGCAGTGAACGTGTTAAATATCTACAGAGACATCAATGGCATACCGATTACTTTAGGAAATAATGCCGAGCTATCGATCATTTCTCCGTTACGTTAGTTTAATATACTATATATTGTGATATTTGCAATACTTTTTGTATGTACGTATGATATCTGTTTTTTATATACCTAGCTAGTTTCAGTTTGTTATGATAATGAAATACTAGTGGTTCTTTCCATATTCGAGATAATTTTTCTGGTTAATTAAAGGTTAATAATTAGTTTGAGTTTGATTTTTCACCAAATTCTCCTTAAAGTATTACAATGTGTTAGAGACAATCAAAACTTTACACAACTTCAAATATTCTTAATATTTGTAACATTGTGACCAAGTGAAATTATGGTTGATTTTTTTATTTAACGTAGATCGTTTATAGAACAAGTTCTTCTAAATATACTGTATTTTCTATTGCTGCATTTGAAAAATTTTCCTGACTAGCGTGTGAATGGAACCATCTATCTAGTAATCCACTCACATCGATGTCTCTCTGCTAACTCACTGATCCTGCGAACCAAATAATATACTTTATTTCATTATTTTTTCCAAGCCAATAATTATTATTCCTCGACATTTCCCGACATCCTCAACAGATTTATCTTAAACTTCACGTAGATGTTACATATTAGAGGTGAGGCAATAAATATACCTTGCCTTACACCAGATATTGCACCATAACTGCTTTTGTGAATATTCGTAACTACAGAACCACATATTTAACATTAACAAATAATGAAATAATGATAAACGAAAACAGATCAAGACATAAGACAACCACTGATGAGCACAAGAAAATAAAAAATATTAAGGGATCAAGTTTTTAACATTGTTAAATCTTAACTGATTTTTATTTGACTTTAATTAGTTTTTAGATATTTTAATAAAAATAACTCTTCTCTTTAACTTTTTTAAGCTTTTGGAAATCTCCCCATGTGGAAGGTTTTGTGTTTTCTTGGAAGTACTATTAAGATCTTTATCAACAAAATGTCACTCGGTAGGCAGCACACAATGTTTCAACTACACTATAAACTTGTTCAAAGTTTGGTCTATTTTCAGGTTTGTATTCCCAACACCGCAACATCAGTCGATACATTTCGTCCGGAGTGTTGTCTGGAGCTGGCATTCTGTAACCTAAAAATAGTTGATTAATTTAAAATTAAAAAGTTAAAAATGCAGTTAAAAAGAAAGAAGAATTACGAAAGCCCATTGCAAAAATTACAATAATTACATCACCGGTAGCCAATCCACGGCGCGTGTGCTAGGAAGTAGAAGTAGTACCAATCTACGGCGCATGCGCTAAATTTTTATTAAATCAAGCTTAGTCAAATTAATTTTTTATACTACGCCGCTGACTCGCGCTATAGAACAACAATCTTTAGCTAGGTAACACCAGATACATAATTCTTCGTTTTGTCGATGCCATTATCATCTATTTAAAGGTCAATTCAGACACATCAGTCACGTCTCGTCACAGTGATTGCGCCGAACCGAACAATGCGTCATACAAAATATTCTTTAATACGAATATGTTGCCGGCATTCACACTCATCAGTTGACAAACAGTTTCCCAGCTGTCAGATAGTTGATAGTTCTGTGACCAAACAGGACCGGTTCGGCGCCGAGACTATGACGGGACTGATGTGTCTGAATTGACCTTAAGACGGAAGTTTTGTAAAATGTGATCGGTTGACTCAGTTGATTTTCAAATGTGCTCAAATTAAGAAGTTTAAGTGATGACTGAATAAAAAATTAATTAAGAATAAACGGCAACAAGTAGCAACAAAAACTAGTCACGTTGTTCACGAATAAATCTAAAATTCATCAATATATTTACCAGTGTCGATTTTTTCTCGAGCTTTGGAATTACTCATCCCACTATATGGCGTTCCTCCTTTAGAGAATATTTCCCAGCATAAGACGCCGTAACTCCAAATGTCACACAAAGAAGTATACTTCCCAAAGTTAAGGGCTTCGGGAGCAGTCCATTTGATGGGTATTTGCTTCATACCATCTGAAACTATGTATTCTTCCTCTTCTCTAGACATTCCAAAGTCTGATATTTTTACTACATTATTATAACCTGAAAATAAAACAGTTTAAAATATTTTATGAAATAATTAAATCTAAACCAAGTGTTCAGTACTTGCTCACCCTCTTAAACGTAGTAAAGTTGCAAATAATATATAACTGAATACATCTGTAATATACTTTATTAAATAATGTTTCTTTGAGCAGTATTTGTTTTTTTCGATTGGTAGGTTGCTAACCTTGCCAATCATCCCCCACATTTTATCCAGGCTTGGGACCGGCTGTGGTAATCGTAGAGCTACTCCAATCCACCCCGCAATCACCCCAGACAGTGAAGAACTAACCGACTCTATTGAAGCTGGCAATGGGATAAGACAGGGTGATTCCCTGGGTCCTCTATTGTTCAACCTGATTATGCATGAAATAATAAAAAAAGTAAGATCTAAAAAAGGATTCCAAATGGGAGAAAAACAACTTAAAATAATCTGCTATGTAGACGACGCAATACTACTCTCTCAAAGTAAAGATGATTTACAACGTATGCTGCATCAATTTAATATAACCGCCAAAAAATTATATATAATAGCACTACGAGCCTAGTAGGCCCATGGCTTGAGCTGTTATTGTTTTCCATTTCTTCCTATTAGTAGCCTTGTCCTTCCATCTTTTTATTCCCAGTGTTTCTAGGTCTTTCTCTACTTCTTGCTTCCATCTACTTCTCGGCCTTCCTCTCCTATTTTTGTACCCATTGTATGCATCAGAATCATTTTTGGTACTTGAGAATTTGTCATTCTTTCTATGTGCCCTAGCCACCTGAGTCTCTGAGCCTTTACTGCTTCCACTATACTAGGATTCTTGTACATATCTTCTAATTCTTTATTTGTTCTTCTTTTCCATGTATGGTCTACTATCTTGCCTCCAAATATCTTTCTCAAAACCTTCCTTTCCCATATTTCGAGCATACCTGTTTCGCCTTTGTTCAGTGTCCACACTTCACTGGCGTAGGTTACCACTGGTTTTATAACTGTTTTGTAAATCCTTATTTTGGCATTCCTAGATATCTGTTTACTTTTTAATAGCCTGTTTAATGAGTACACACATCGGTTTCCTGCCATCATTCTTGATTGGAGCTCCTCTCTAATATTTGGTTTGCATGTGAACATCGACCCCAGGTATGTAAATCTTTCCACTGCTTCAAATATATATGCTTTTTCACCCTCTACTTCTATTTTTAGATTTCCTCCTTTTTGTTCACTGTCATCTATCCATTCCATGTATTTCGTCTTACTTTCGTTGATGGCTAAGCCTATTTTATTTGCCTCTCTGTCTAGCCTCTTTACTACTTCTTGTAGCTCACATTTGCTTCGTGCCAGTATTACTACATCGTCAGCAAAGGCTAGATATTGGTGCTTTCTTTGGTATAACAATCCCTCTCTGTTGACATTTTCATCTCGTATGACCTTCTCCAAACACAAGCTGAATGGTATCGATGATAGGGGATCTCCTTGCCTTACTCCTTCACTGATTTTTCCGACATTATATTATTTATTTTAACTCTGCTCTCAGTCTTGGACAGCGTTATTTGTATCATTCTTATAAGTTTTCTACTGATACCCAATTCTTCTAGTGCTTTGCTCATTTGGTTCCATTTTATTCTATCGTACGCTTGTTTAAAATCAATGAAGAGGACTCTTGTCGGCAGATTGTGTTGGTAACTTTCCGCTTGCAATTCTCTGAGCGTAAATATCTGATCTGTTGTACTTCTACCAGGTCTGAAGCCACATTGGTACTCGCCGACAATGTTTTCTATCACTCCTGCCAATTTGTCCTTTATACACGCTGCAAGAATTTTGTATGCAGTATTCAATAGTGATATTCCCCTGTAATTTTGACAATCTGTCCTATCGTCTTTCTTATAAAGTGGGCATATAATTGCATCTGTCCATTCTTGTGGTAGTTGTTCTTTAATCCAAATCTCCTTTATTAATTTGAACATTTGCTCCTCTAGCGTTTTTCCTACATATTTGAACATCTCTGCAGTTATATTATCACTTCCTGGACTCTTGTTATTTTTTAATTTCTTTATTATTTCCTTTATCTCGTTTCTGTAGGGGGTGTTTCTTCTGTCTGATTTATTTGGTTTCTATGTTTCTCCGTTCTTATAGGCTGTGGCTGTTCTATCCTGTTTTCGTCATTTAGCAATTTATCGAAGTATTCTTTCCATCTAGCGGCTATTTCATTTTCTCCTTATGGCGTTTCCCTCTTCTTCTTCTTTGTAAAATTTTGTTTACTGTTGGTATCCTCTTTTTTCATTTTTTCAATTTCATTTTCAAGTGGAAGATCAAGTGAATAGAGCAAACAGAGCCGTTTATAATATAAGATAGTCTATGTAATGCAATACTAGCCCATTCCTCTAGTTCAACAGAGAAAACTGACACAAAGCACCCCCTGCATCTCTTTATAAAGTATCGGGTTTATCGACCACGTGACCTAAATGACCAATGATAATGTCACGTGGTCGAGAAACCCGGCCCATTAGAAAGAGATGCAGAGACTGCTTTGCGTCAGTTTTCTCTCTCTCTCACAGGTTGGTATTGCAAGGATCAATATATCTTGTTATATGTCTATGATATTTAGACCATTTAATAACCAGAACAATCTTCTCGAGACCGGTTGTCATTCTTTCAAGACATATTGTACCGCCTTTACAAGTGCTTCTCTAGTGTGATACGAACTTATGTTTTGCTTCAAAAAATGAATAAATCTTTTCGATAATTTAATCTATTATATCCATATAACGGTATACTGATAGGCAACAAATCGCCAGAACTATTTGCTATAATGAAGTCGCCCCAAAAAAGAACTTGTATTACAAACTTCTGAAGTTGCTTAAGATTTAAGTGCAGTCAATCGTAGACACTGACGTGCGGGTCTCAAGTCGAGATGTTTGAAGTGAAAGAATTTTCATGCGGCCGTAATCGAAATATCGAAGTCAAATCTGTTGATTGCTGCTAAGCGATATTGATGCGCATGTGTTCTGAAAGATCACTATTCAATATGGTATTCGATGCTACTAGACCAGACAGTCCATATTTTATATCGGCAACAGCGCAATGGTACAAGGAGATATAGTAGCTATAGATAATGAGCATCTTATTAATTCTTCTGAGATTTAATATTCATTTAAAAACAAAAATCTTAACATTCTCGAGTAAAATAGTATATTACATAACGAGAGTTGTAAGAAGCTTATTACATGCGAGTAAAAAAGTTGCGCGCGAGCCGCGTAGCGGCGAGCTCAGTAATTTTACAAGCATGTAATAATCTTACAACTCAAGTTGTGTACTATACTTTTTCTACCATTATTTTCGTTTATAAAAATAAAAATTAAATTACCACTATATTTACACTGACAGTTTAATAATTTTTAATCTGTCAAAATAACGTTACCATGGAAACGTTAATTCGTTTCCATGGTAACTCGACCAACTGACTTACGAGGCTTATGTGATATTACACATTTTTATAAAACTGAAGCGTAATTTTTTTTATTACGTGCTAGTCATTACGTGTCAGTATCAGTTATGATGCATTTACTTAGCATCCAAATAGTAGGTAATATACAATTTATTAGTAAGAGAGTAGAAAAATGATATTATCTGTTGAGGAAAGAATTTATATTATATATATATATATCCCGTTTATAGCGTAATCCGCCTTTGGGTTCCCGTTCGCCAAGCCTGTCTATTCTGCCAGTCTTCTTCAAATAGATTTCTTGCTGACATGGCTTTTGAAATTCCTTGCATCCATGTTGTTGGTGGTCGTCCTCGTTTTCTTTTCTCTGGTGGTACCCATTCTAATATTTTTTTTGGTAGTCTTTCTTCCCCCATACGTCTAACATGTCCGTACCATGTCAGTTGTTGTTTTTCGATGTCTTCTATAATTGATCTTTGTACATTCATTTGATTTCTTATGTCCTCATTTCTCACATGTTCTAATCGAGACTTTCCCGCTGCTCTCCTCCAAAAATCCATTTCAACTGCCAAGAGGTTACCTTTAAGTTTTTGTGATAACTGCCATACTTCTGAGCCATACACGATTACTGGTTTCAATATTGTGTTATATATTCTTTTTTTCGTTTCCGGTCTTATATTTTTCTGCCATAGTACTGAATTCAATGCACCTATAACTCGTTTCCCTTTGGTTATTCTGTCTTTTATGGCTTCATCAGTTCTTCCTGTCTTTGTTAGTTTTACCCCCAAATATATACATTGATCGCATTTCTTAATTTTCCCGTCTTCTAAGTCGAGGTCATCTGCAGTATTTTCTCCTCCTATGCAAAGATATTGCGTTTTTTGTAAATTTACTTCGAGGCCCCATTTTTTGTACTCTTCCATTAGTTTTCTAGCCATATACTCTAGGTCTTCCTTGTCTTGGGCAATAACTACCTGGTCATCTGCATAATGCAGCGTGTATAACGTTTCATCCCCAATAGACAGCCCCATCCCTTTACACTTCTTTTTCCATTGCCTGAGTGCTTCGTCGATATATATATTAAATAGTATGGGAGATAAACAACAACCTTGCTTCAGTCCCTTTGTTACCTGAAAACCATTAGTAACCTTATTTCCTATTTTAACTTTTGATATTGTGTTGTTATATAGATCTTTAATAGCGTCGATTAGTGAAACGCTGATACTGGTTTTCTCCAATACTTCCCACAATTTCGCAACAGGCACGGTGTCATATGCTTTTGTTAAATCGACTAAAAGTAAATGCACTTCTCGAGATCTCAGTGTTCTTTTCTCGAGTATTTGGGATAAGCAAAAAATACTATCTATTGTGGATCGTCCCGCTCTGAATCCGTTTTGTTCTTCTGATTCAAAAGGACGGTATTCTTCGCATATGCGTTCTTTTATAATTCTCCCATATAATCTGCTAAGCGTACTCGTAACAGTTATACCTCGATAGTTATTGCAATCTTCCTTATTTCCTTTTTTATGGATAGATGTAATCCATCCTTCTTTCCAACTTTGTGGCACTGGTTTTCCGTGCAAGTGCCTATTGAAAACTTCTGTTAGTATCTCGAATAGTTTGTTGGTTCCATTTTTTATTAACTCTGCATATATCCCCTCTGGGCCCGGAGCACGTCCATTTTTCAACAATGATATAGCTTTTTTAGTTTCTTCGATGTTAATTGTTGGAGGCTCTCCTTGAATCAGGATTTCATGTTGTTCTATGTTTTTGAATTCCGGTCTTTCTTCTACTAACAGTGTTTTATAGTGTTGTTCCCATTTTTCGGGCTCTATGGAGTGTATGGCTATTTGTTCTGTTCTGTTGGATCTGATGTTTTTTATAAATCTCCAGGATTCTCTTGATTTGCGGCCGCCAATATACGTATCTAATTCCTGACATTTTCTCTCCCAGCTTTGATTTTTTGACTCTATTATCGTGGATTTAAATTTATTTACCATTTCTCTATATTCTCTTTTGTGTTCTTGATCCTTTGTTCCCAACCATCTGTGATATAATTTTTGCTTTTGATCTTTCATTTCCTGTAGTTCATCATTCCACCAATTATTTGTCTTTCTGAGTTTGTTTACTCTTATTCCTAATGCTTCTTTGGCCGCTTGATGTATTCCTTTTCTTATTATGCTATGTAACTCTTCTGTTGTTTTATGTTTAAATTCCTGTGGTAGTTGTTGCTCCAATCTTTTTTTATACAATTCTCTAGTACTATCGTTGTCTAAACTTGTTAGATTATACTGTAGTTGTTCACCTTCTGCTGAGTGATTTTCATTTAGATTTTTGTTTTGTTGGTGTTTACCGTTTCCGCTTAGCGGTAGTATCATTTTAGCTTTTACTAGATGGTGGTCACTTCCACATTCGGCTCCTCGAAATACTCTTACGTCATGCACTTTTATTTTAGATTTTTGTTTCATTATTAGGTAATCAATTACTGATCTTAAGTTTCTTGTAGGCTGAGTCCATGTATATGTATGTATTTCCTTATGTTTGAAATACCCATTCATGATCCTTAGTGAGTTGTGTCTACACATTTCTATTAAGTTATTGCCATTATCGTTTGTAGTGTTTTCTCCATATGGTCCTATTGTTAAGAATTTATATTACCGGAAGTTATTATTTTTATTTAAAATTTTAAAACTTTATTTTTATTATTATTATTTAAAATAATAACCGGAAGTTATTATTTTAATTTTTTTGAGCGACAAATTACCTGGTAATTTTTAAATTTATTTACGGTTCTACGGAAATTAGTAGAAATTAATAATAATACAATTAGAAAAATTTAGTTGTGTAATCCTTTCTCTGAATGTTACATAAGTGATAGGCCTATTTATAGTGGCTGTAGTTGGGGAATGTTTAGAACGGGAAACCGTTTTCCAGCAGGAACTGTTTTAAGATCGGATCAAAATGTGTTAAAAATACAGATATCGACCTAATCACCTCCAGTATACTCACCATAATCTAATTAAGACACCAAAAATATGTGGCCAAACAAGACCAAACAAATAAGAATCTATTCTTATCTATTTGATCTATTTCCGACAATTAAATAACTCTGTACAGTTATCACAAACAAAAACTAAAAAGCTAATGATAAAAAATGGATTTAGTAAGAAGCTGAAAAGTAGCAAACGTTCACCTGTTGTCCTTTTAGCAAGCCATATACAGTGAAAGTTTGCGCGAGGCGTGATCTAGTTTCACCAATCTTGGCATTGAAATTGTCCAGCAGTTGTGACTTCCTTATTTGGTAGTTGTTTCAATGTACTGCAGAATGATCTTAAGCTTGGCTTGTTGGATCGTATACTTGTACTAGATTAATATTTGTGTTTATTACTTCACATCATTGTTAGACTGGCTGTTATTTCCTGAGAAGTAGATTACTTTTGTTATTCAAAGAGAAATATCCTTTATAGGTCCTTTATACAACAACATACCATTTTATTTCATTTCCCACCACTTCCAATTTTTCGATTTACAACAGCCATAAACATTCCACGTATCAATTTTAAGAACACTCCACATTTTTATTCCAGTCGCTTGCTTTCCATACTGTACCTGGCTTCTCAAATTACCGTTATCGGTAGCCTATTTCATACCATCAGCCCTGGACTCTAACTGGTGCTGAGATATTACTATATCTAAAGATCATAACATTCATAACCCGTCTGTCTCGGAATCTTAATAACAATTTGGGGTTGGAAAAACGAGTTGCTCAAGAGAGGCCGACAGGAAAGATAGCACTTCAACCAATTATCTGACATATGACTATATACTTACCTACTAAACAATTACGAGCTGCCAGATCTCTGTGTATACAATTTTTCGATTCTAAATACCTCATTCCACTTGCTGTATCAAGGCACATTTTCATAAGTTGACCTTCAACAAGAAGAGTTGCTTTTTTACGTAAGAAGGTAAGTAGAGATCCACCTAAAATAACAATATCAATGTGTTAGATGTTTATATAGAACAATACATATATGTATATTTATAAGGAGCCATCGAAAAAAAGTTATTAAAGTGTGAATTTCGTTATAAAGATCTTCCAGATTGTTAGTCCCTTTCACTTTGGGTTACTTTGTGAATTTTAAATCCAAAAAACTGTGAAAGGTAAATTTAGGAGCATTTACAAGAACGTCTTGAACAAATTTGTTTAGCAGAAGGAATAAGACAGTCGATAAAAAGTGATGTCTAAGGAGTACATAAATGTTTCATATTTATTTAGTCAAAAATTTATTAATGACAGATGACAGTAGTAATAAAAATGATCGGGTGTCATAAGGACCTATTACTTGGAGGTTGGAGGTATGTTTACTACACCAGTGGCGTGCTCGTTTATTTTATAATGAATTTATTTTTCTTCGTCAAAACAAAATCTATGAAAAGAAAGTATTTAGAAAAATGATATTTAAATGATTTTTTAAATGATGTATTCAGTATAATGTATAATAATTTATTTATTAAATAAACTAAACGCCTTCGGAATATATTTATTATAATATCCTCCCTTTATTTATATTATTATTTATAATTTACTATATCGCATGTTATGATTCGATTGGTTGTTTATTTTGTACTCAGTCTGAGTCCTTCTTTAAGTCAGTAAATCAAAATGCCCTATGATATCTCGTATGTTGCTATATGTTAATTAATAACGAAGATGCTGGTAGTACCCTTTTGGTAGTCGCCTTGTTTGCTTTTTCTTAGGTTATATATCTGTTATTTCGTCCCCTTTCATTTACTATGTCGCATGCTAGGGTTCGTTCAGTTGTTTATTCTGTACTCAGCTAGAGGTGTTCTTTAAGCCAATGAATCAAAATTTGTCTTTCGTCTCTCCAATAATGTATCATACGTCACGATCCGACGAACTATTCTGCCCCCACCACAAAACGCTCAAAAGTAAGCAGAATAAATCTTAGCGTTTTCTTATCGGATTTTAAATGGGAAATGAAGCAGAAACGGTCAGCCTTTTTGCAGGTATAGCTATTATTTAATTTTGTTTAATTTTATTTGACTTTATTTAATTGTTATTTAATTTTACGTAATTCTGTTTAACTTGATTTAAAATTACTTAATTCTAATTACTTTTATTTAATTTTATTTTATTTTGGTAAAACGTTGACGTTTGTTAGACGTCATTTTATTTTTACTGTAAATGTATATGTGTAGGTATCTTACCCAATTACGTATAATAAATATGTATTATTACGTCATTGAATTTACCCTACTATTACAGTAACCTATATTTTTAGCAATTTTGAGAAAAAATTAATTACTGTGAAGTAGTCAAATTTCCGATTAAGAATATTTGAATCATCAATTTGTAGAATCAATTTCCACTAAAGGAACCGTATCATCAAGAACAAAAAAATTATTGATATGTCAGATGTTGGTAGTTCAGATTTCTTTCCTAGGTGGCGTAGTTACCCTATTGGACAAACAGTGTGACTTGTGGTCCTAGACTTTTATATAAATAGATAAAACTTACCTGGAACTAATTCCATAACAATCATTATGGGTTGTTTTTGCACACAAATACCGATCAATTTTACAATATTGGGATGATCGTATTGTTTCAAAATTCTGCCTTCTTGCAAAAACTTTTTCTTGTGTTCTTCTGGCAAGGTTACTCTGCAAGTTTTGACGGCAACTATGGAATTGTTATTTTTTAGCTGCGCTTTGTATACATCTCCAAAATTACCCTAAAACAGAGAAGTTTAGAGATTTCTACGTTGGCAGAGATTGTTCTATAATATGGAGTTAAATCGTGTACATTGATAGAGACGCAATAAGAAGACTTATCTTCTTTGAGAGGTTGACATGTAGATGGCACGTGTGGATCACGTTAAGAACGTTGAAATTCAACAAGAATGAAGACAGGAAACTAAGTTGGAAGGACAATAAAAGACAGAAAACTGTAATATCTGGGACATCTAATGCTTGGAGGTTTAATTTTTATTTAGCATATAGGACACATGGAATATAACATATTTTTAAAATGTAGCATATATACCAAGGTAAAATTCTTTCACAAACCACACGGTGTTAATTAATGTCACTATAATGGTGCATGGAATCACCTTAACAAGTTTATACAGAAGGAATTTCTTCCAGACCTATCATAAGCACCAGTTAAGTCTACAAAAACAACTGATGTTTTTTCTTGTTTTTGGTCTAGGCAGCTTCTATTTGACCTACAGCAAGCTTGCTCCGCAGTAATTGCATCAAGCGCAGAGCTGAACCCGAGCATCTCCATCATTTTATAGCAGTAGAAGCTCAAGAGGGCTACTGTTCTGTATTGTCACGATTCTCGTTGCAGTTTTAAAAGCTTTTGGTAAGATTCCTGTTGATAAAATATTTGAATAAAACTTTATAAGCCTTTGCATCCTTTTGCGTCATTTTTCCGTATCGCACAAGGAAATCTTCCATCAAACCTTGGTAGTTTGTGACCAATAAATCTTTACGGAGTGGTGGGCTGGATCTACTAAATTTTGTAATAGGTTCCATGATCATATGATTGAATTAATGCGCGGAGAACCATACGACATCCGGCTGCTCACAATCTAAGAAAAAATAGAAGGCTTCTTAACGAAGATGGCACTTGAAGAAGAAGAAAAGAAAAAGTTAGGAACATACAAGAAAATATTAGTGTTTACTTCATATTTGGAATTGAAATTCAGCCGAACAACTTTATATTTTCAAATCTTTGGTGAATAGACTCAGATGTTTACCTACGTCTCATGTATTCATATTCAATATACAATTTTCAATGTTACTAAGTATATATTTACGGATTTGATTTCATGGAACACTTAATAACCATATATTTACCTTTCCTATTTTATCTAGTAAAACTACATTGTCATTATTGAGTTCCCACGTTTCGCGGGGTACTGGATTACGTAAAATGGCACCAGATCTACTTGTTACTGGCAATTCGCTATTATATTGGTACAAAATAAGTTCTCTAATACTGGGAAATGCCGGTCCTTCAAACCTAAAATGTCCCTAAAACAAAAAAAAATGTGTAAATAAATTATATCATATAATAAATTCTCATTAGGAGTGAAATACTGTCATAAAAATCTACTTCTACTAAATTATTTATTACTTTAAATTTGTACTTATCATATTTATTAGACAAATACTTCAGATTTAGACAGGATGAAGCCCATTTAAAGATAATGTAAATAAAAAATCATGTCTTAGAAGGAAGTACATTCATTATATAAGTATATATATATATATATATATATATATATATATATATATATATATATATATATAACAAGCGAGTCTTCTACAGCTGGCGCCGCTTCTCGCATCCTAATTTCCAGCGTTTTCTATCGAAGCAATCTTCAGTTGTTAGATCTCTGGCGGTCATTGCATCGTCGACATCGTCTCTCCAGGATCGTCTTGGTCTACCTCGTTTTCTTCTAGTTGGCGGAGTCCATTCTTCTATTTTTTTGGCCATCTATTTTCCGGCATTCTCTGAAGGTGTCCATACCAGTTAAGTCTTTTGGCTTCGATTGTGTCTATTATGTCTAGATCGATTTCCATTTCTCTCCGAATATCTTCGTTTCTCACCCTATCAAGTCTAGTGAGCTTTCAACATCGTCTCCAGTAGTTCATTTCCATGGCCTTAATTTTTGATTTGTTTCTTTGGTTTATTTCCCAGAGTTCGGCGCCATACAGTCCAATACTTTCTATTATTGTTTTATAAATTCTTCTTTTATTGTCTTTTGTTATTTTTTTATTCCATAATAGTCCGTGTAGCTGTCTGGTGGCTGATCTTGCTTGGCCAATCCTGGAATGTATTTCTTCGCTACTTCCTGCTTTTGATGTTATTTGGACTCCCAAGTACTTAAAATTGTCTGTTGGTTTTATAGTTCCCATTTCGATTTGTAGGCTTTCTGGTTTTTCTCCTACAACTAAGTACTCAGTTTTTTGTATATTAATTGTGAGGCCCCATTTGGTGTACTCATCTTCCAGTTTTCTAAGCATGTAGCTTATATCACTCTCGTCTTCAGCTAGAATGGCTTGGTCGTCAGCGAAATGTATCGCGTACAATCTATCATCTCCGATTGGGATGCCCATATTGCAGCACTTTCTTCTCCACAGTGAGAGTGCCTCATTTAGATATATTTTGAAGAGTGTGGGTGCTATGCAGCAGCCTTGCTTTAGGCCCTTACTAATAGGAATTTCTCTAGTTAATCTATTTCCAGTTTTAATGTTTGCCGTCATATTTTTGTAGAGTTGTTGTACTGCTTGTATATTTTTTTTGCTTATTCCTTGTTTTTCCATTGCTACCCAAAGCATTGAAAGTGGTACACTATCGTATGCCTTTGTCAGATCTATAAAGACTATATGAGTTGAAAGGTTGTGGGCTAATCTTTTCTCGATAACTTGCTTTAGAGAGAATATACTGTCCATGCAGGATCTGCCTGCACGAAAGCCATTCTGTTCTTCTACATCTGTCATCTCTTTTTCAATTTTATTTTTTATTATTTTTCCATACAGTCTTGAGAGTGAATTTAAGACACTTAGCCCCTTATAGTTTGAACAATTTTTTCTATCTCCTTTTTTGTATATGTTGTTAATATGTGCTTTTGTCCACTCCGGTGGTAAGTCGTGTCCATTATAGAATAAGGTGAAGACATACGCCAGTAATTCCCGTAATACTTGTGGGCTATGTCTTAATAATTCATTTGGTATACCATTATATAAGTATAGTAGGAAATAATATCCTTGTCTTTGCTAAATTTGCAGACGTCCTGCAAGTCTAGACTACTTTTGAAGGAGCTGTGAAAGAACTACTTAATAACCGTCAAACTAATCAATATTTAGTATCATGAATGTGTTGCTTGTGTGAGTCCATTTCAAATAGGTAAAGAAATAATAAATAAGACTTACTCACAATCTTAGATTGTGAGTAAGTCCTATTTATTATTTCTTTACCTATTCAATATATAATAGTTTATTTATGAAAGATTCTTAATTATCCATTAACAAGATATTTAATTATCCGAATCAACAATCTACGATTATTAGTGAAGGAACAGTAATATTTTTGTACAATTTAGTGAGTTTCAAAAAGTTTTTCACCACTGTCCGGTGCATCAACATGTTTTACAGGTTTTGGCATTGTCACAAGCTTAATATTCATTCGTTGGCCCTTTTCTTAAAACGCGTTCATTGATTTATCGTGTCCTATTCTAAGTCTGTATAGAAATAGACAATGCTCTTCACTAGTCCCAAGATATATCAGGATTTAACGATTTAACGATTTCCATCTTTTCATCCACTTACTTTTTGGGCATTTTCTAATTGGGGTTTTTAAATCAGGATATGGAATCTATTTCGTCTTTGCCATGTGACGAAATCAAGCTGCTCCATCCGGTTTTTTATTTCCGACAATCTCTGTGCGATGGGATTCAAACCAACTGGCTGGCTCACAAACAGCCGCCTCAACTCCAACTAAATGGTCAGGTTCCTACACCCGTACCATAAACAACTTTTTTATTGTATTTTCAGTGAAGTCCAATGTTCCGTCTTTTACGTGTTTTTCAAAGAAGTAAATAACTTAACCTTTATAAATGAAAATTGTGTATTTTTCCATCAAATGGGATCTCTCTTAAGTAGTGGTGCTTTTTAAAACTTGACCAATGTGATGAACCTATTGGAGGCCTTTGAAATGTGGGTATTTCCCTGGACAGATCACACAACAAATGTCGAAGTATTAAATCGAATGGGCAGAGAATGAGAAGTACTGCCAATAATAAAAAGAAGAAAAACTGCTTATTTGGGTCATATATTTCGACATTCCAAGTATCAGTCCTTAAAGCTTATTATAGAAGAGAAGATAGAAGCAAAACGGGGCATCGGAAGAAAGAAATACTCATGCCCATGCACTCTTTAGAGCCACACAAGATCGAGAAGAGTATGCCCGAATTGTCGTCAAAATCCACTAATTGGATAGGGCACCATAAGAAGAAGATTTCATTCTTTATGTAAAATTATGTGCTTATGATTTAAAATTATTTACCTCGGCGGTGGTTTGTACTATAAAATGTTTATGTCCTCCCCAGCAAACCGAAAGGACAGTCTGACTTTCGTCGTTCCTTGTTGTTTCTCTAACTAAGAAGTCACCATCTACGCTTAGCAGCCTCACTACTTCTTCTCTGGGAAGCACACCATGGAACCATTCTTCCTCCACTAGCGATTTGTTTGTGGTAAGATGAACCTGAAGAAATTAAAATAAACATTAAAAATAATGGCAGAAAAAATTAAGTACAGGAAAACTAATATATGCGAGAAAACTAAAAGCACATACAAGCAAAATAGAAATCACTAATACTAGCGGTAGTAGTAACACTATATAGATGTTTAAAATTGCATGCAATAATTTATTTGTTCAATATATTCCCAATAGTCCAGTTTTCTACACAGAATTCTTTTCATATGCATGGATATGCCTGAAATTTTGACAGTAGGTATAAACTAGCCTAAAGATCAAAATTGACCCTATGCCAATTATGTGCTTTTCCCCTAGGGGTGGTTACCACCATAACTTGAGGATGGAAAAATTTTATTAAAAAAAAACATGGTGGTAGCTAAAATAGTAAATATTCAGACAAAAATGTAAAGTTTTTGTTATTTTCTGCGAAAAACCGTTTATAAAACATGCTTTTTTGACGTGCAATTTCTGAACTTTCAGTCACTAATAACTCGAACAATATGAACTTTTCGAAAAAACTCTAAACATTTGTGTCTTAAAAGTCACTATTCTAGCGACTACACTTTTCCGCCCCCGACTTGGTAACCACCCCCAGAGGAAAAGCACATATTGCCATAGGGTAGATTTTGATTTTAGAACTAAATCAGTACCTTATAATGACCAGTAGGTATTATATTTTGTGTTAACTTAACCACAAAAGTTTTGCACCACCAAAAGGTATATTTTGATAGTTGATTTTCTCATTAACGGATTAGCGGGTTTCGCTAATTTTTTTGGTATTTGCACTCTTAGATGCGAAGAAAAATATATGGACCTGTACAGGAGAATAGGAAATGGCGTATAAAAATGAAAATCGAAATAAATAAAATATTTAATAGACCGACTATCATAAAAGAAATACTAAGTAAACGACTGAGTTGGTTGGGACACGTAGAAAGGATGGATACTACAAAAACAGTACTTAGAAAATAATTAAACGGGAAGAGACCAAGAGGTAGGTCCAGGAAGAGATGGATTGCAAGAAAGCAAGATATATATATATATATATATATATATATATATATATATATATATATATATATATATATATATATATATATACCCGGTTTTTTAGGCGTCACGCCCGTCCGGTAGGGATCTATGGAGGAGTATCACCGAGCCACAAGCCCTTATCTCTTGCCGTAAATAAAGACTTACTTAATAAACTCGACAGGAACAAGTTCCACTCTCTAATGTTTCACTTTTGACAATTGAAAATAATCTGGTTAAAGAAATGTCACAATATCTAAGTTTTTACAATGAAGTTATAAACGAGTTTGCGAAAAATGGTAGAAGAATTGAATTACATTATAAATAGGTGAGTTTTTACATTTTTTTTTTATAAATTGCTTCCCTTGTTTTAAATTTCACCGCACGCCCCTGACCAACGAGTACAAAAGAAGATAAGGGAAACGAAGTGTCGGTAGATATATGTCCATTTACTTTTTGGATTATGATAGCGTTTAATAGAACGAAAAACCCATGATACTTGTGAAACAGAAACAACTGACGGGTTAGGAGGGTAGCCGTGACAATTTTTGTTTGATTTTTCACATTACACTTAATATCGTTGTTAAATGTAAAATATATCTGTATTTGACTACAGAACAAACAAATTAAATGATCACATCAACAGAAATACAGAAAATATTTGTAGTAAATGCTAATAAAGTGAAAAAAATGACCAAACGACAAAAAATAAATGTTACTAGATCGGTAATTGATGTGGAACCTCTATAGAGAGCTAGTATGGAAAGAGATTGTATATATATATATATATATATATATATATATATATATACATATATATATATATATATATATATATATATATATATATATATATATATATATATATACACGAAACAAGAAACAAGAGGAAAACATAGTATCTTACCTTTCTTCTCTTTATACCACAGCAGGTAAACATTTTCACAAAACTTTAACACCATCAACATTAAACTGTTATGCACCTGTGGTTAAAAACTGGAGAACAATTAACGGTTACACATAATGCAACATATTAATCAACCTTTAGTAATTTATTATGAGCTTGCTTTAAAAAATGTGTCGAACTGAAATGTTTCATTCTATTGTCTTGATGTGTTTATCAAAGGAAATTGAGATAGACAATTTTATAATATCATATCTACAAACTTACTATAAATACCCATTTTATGCGTATACTAAATGAATTAAATTTAAAACATATATAAATCGGTGAGAGCTTGGAAAATGATATTCTAGAAAAAAATGTTACATGCTTATTCGACGAAATTTTATTAAAACCTGAATACTCGCAATTAATTTGATATCTTTTGATAACATGAAAACTAATCTATAAAAACTCCATAGACCGCAGTTCATTTAATAAGATAATAATTAAGATTTGTTTTATATTTGGATTTTCGTATTATTTAATTTTTCTAAAAATGCGCTTTTGCAATTGTTATTCTTTTTGAATTTAATACTTGTTGCCAACTATTTTTCCATGCAGTAATAAGTTAAACTCTGCGAATACGACAATTTTTTTCAATATAATGCACAAAGAGAGATTCTTCTTCTTTATAGTTCAACAACGATTTTTGAGCTTGGCTTTGTTTAATAGATATACTTGTATAATAGAATTTCACATCAAACGTGCTTTTTGAGCTTTTGCTTTTTGTTTAATGCTTGGTTAGATATATTGCGAAGTATATTTCTTTCTCATCGCTTCAATTTCAGTCCATTTTTTTGACTTAACAACCAAGTTTCGCTACCATACATAACCGCAGGTTGTACAATCGTTTTGTAAAAGGTTTCTTCTTTTTGTATTCCTGAACATTAACTTTGGTCCTGGATATTAACTCCAAAGCTTTGATCATTTTGTTTAGTGCTTCTACAGCATTACTTCCTCTTCTTCTTAAATTGCCTATCCGTTTCGGATGTTGGCGATCATCACGGCTATCTTTACTTTGTTTACTGCACCGCGGAACAGTTCAGTGGTAGTCGTGTTATACCACTTTCGTAAATTTTGAAGCCAGGAAATGCGTCTTCTTCCCGGTCCCCTCTTACTATTTACCTTCCCTAGGAGAATTAGCTGAAAGCCGTAACGTTCTTGATTTCTCATTACATGTCCTAGATATTCCAACTTTTTAGTTTTGACGGTCATGAGAATTTCACAGCTTTACTTCCTTTTGAAAATCTTTTTTCTATTTTATGATCTTTTCGGCTCTATTTGTAACCGTCACTCCAAGGTATTCTAATTAATCCACTTTTTCAAAACAGTATTTTCTACTTCAGCTATTCTTAGATCTTCAAACTGCATTTTCTTTGCTCTCATTTCAAAGTATTTTGTTTTATTTTCGTTTATGTAGTCCAAAGTCCAAACTTTTTCAATATTGTTTCCATTATTAGTTCTGATTTTGATCTCGCAATCAATGCTATCTGCAAAAACGATAACTTGCTGTCTCTTGTAATATAATAAACGAGCTGTCAACACATATGTCAACAAAACAACCTGTCAAAATACGCAACTGAATATACAAGACGTAAAAGCGTTTAGAGGAAGCGACTACTATCCAGTAAAGGATAGTAAACACAACGAGGAACAAGAGCAAAAAACAATAGAAACCAAATACAACTTGGATAGCCTCAACCATGAAAGCACAAAGGCACTGTACAAAAGGTGACTGTATGAAAAGCTCTTACAAGAAAACTTTGATAGTGTTGAGCACCATTACAATTACATAAAACAATGTCTCAAAAGTGCAGCAGGAAGAGAAGGAATCGATAAAGACTTACTTAAGGGAGAGGGGAGTTAAAGAAAACCTTTAGAACGACCGAGATAAATGGAGACGAAATCAGAAACTTGCCTGTTTAATTATCTATGTAGCTGTATCAAGGTCCTCAGTTATCCTTCTAAGATATCTGAACTTTACTTTGGAGACTTGGCTTTAAAAAAAATGGCTTATTTTATTCTTTAATTTAATTATTAATATTTTATTACACATTTAGCATTAAGATTCTCAAATTCGCTATGTGATATACAATGAGGGAACTATCGCCATTTGTTGATAGTGTCAAGATAGGCAAATTAGAAATGGTTCGACTAGGAGAAGAAAGGGATAAGCAAATTAAACATGCATACAGTTGGAAAATTATGCATTGGATTGTTTTAAAAATTATAAAAAATTTCGAGATCGAACCGAAAATCAAAGAATCGTCACAATGGAGAAGAAATAAATTTGCGAAAGTTTTTTTTAAGACAGAAACAGAAAGAAGCATATTGGTGTCACCGAGAGCAAAAGCTAAAAGAGAGGACTTTCTTTGGGAGAAATACAGATTTCGAAGTACGAAAGGACTGATCAACCTGACGTTGTCTAACAATTGAACTTCCCGAAAAATACCATCGAAGTGAGGCTAAGAGATAGTAACGAATACGAAGAAATGAAACTGGAGTCTGCTAATGTACATCATCATTATCATTAACTTTTTACTGATATAATGCTGTTTTCATGTTTTCCGTGTACGCAGAAGGCGTTGGCTTAGTTTCACTACCGACCTGATAAAAGAAGTAATCCGATTTCAGTTTTTTCAGACTTACCCCTCATTGTTTTACCACGCTAAAGACTATTCTTCTTCTTTTTCATTAGTGACCTAAAGACCTAAAGGGTTCATTAGTGGTACAGCCAAACCACTCTCTCAAATTACGCAACCATGACATTCTTCTACGGCCTGGATTCCGTTATGCTTCTATTTTTCCTTGCATTATATTTTGAAGTAATGCGTATTTATGTCCTATCATCAAGTGACCCAAATATTCGAGTTTTCTTCGTTTGATCGTTGACAAAATTTCTGGGTCTTTTCCTATCTTTCGTATTAGTTCAAAGTTTGTGACTCTTTTACCCCACTTATCTTCAACATTCGACGGTAGCATCTCGAATATCTCAATATTTTTTATGTTGTTCTGTTTGAGAGTCCAGGCCTCTACACCGTATAATAGCGGGTTAAATACGTAGCCCCTTAGCATTCTTAATTGTAGAGGGATGTTTATATCTCTTTATAAGTATTTGTAACTTGATACTTTTTCAATTTGAATGCCGTTTAAACTAATATGTGCTGGTTTTGTCATGTTTTTACTGAAGACCATATACCTGATTTTTTGATATTGATATTTATGCCATAATTGTTGCAGGATATATTTATATTTGTAAGTAATCGTTGTAATTTTTCTACTGTTCTTGCAACTAGTACAGCGTCGTCTGCGTATCGAATATTATTTACAATCTCTCCACTGATTACGATTCCTTCGTTTGCTCGCAAAAGGGTTTCCTGACAGATGCTTTCACTATAAACATTAAATAGCAGCGGTGACAAAATGCATTCCTGTCGAACTCCTCTACGTATTTCTATTGCTTGTGATATCCCATTTTCTATTTTGATGTTAGCTTTCTGATTCCAATATAGATTGAGAATGATTTGCAGATCTTTATTATCTGTGTCCTTTCTTTCAAGAATGTCTCTTAGCTTATCATGGCGTACTCTGTCAAACACTTTTTCAAAATCGATAAAACATGCATGTACTTCCTGATTAACGTCTAGGCATCTTTGTGTAAGAACATTCAAACCGAAGAGAGCTTCTCAAGTCCTTTTCTTCTAGTCCTTTTCTGAACCCCATCTGTGTATCACTAATATCTGAATCCAACTTTTGATAAACTCGGTTGTGGATGACTTTCAGAAATATCTTTAGAAGATGGCTCATTAAAGATATTGTTCGATGTTCTGAACATTCTTTTGCAATGGATTTCTTTGGCAATGTAACGAATGTAGACATCAGCCACTCTTGAGTTATAATACCAGTTTTGTATATTGTGTTAAATAAGTGCAATATTATACCTATTGAGTCATAATTCAAGAGCTTTAGCAATTCTAGGTCTATTTGCCTTTCCTAACCTAACCTAACGGCTATTAGATCCCATTTAATTTTCGACATTTCTGCTTCCATCTGCATAGTTCTTTCTTCTGTTGCTAGGGACTTTTTGTACTAGGCTTCTTGTACATTATATGTAGCGACGTTGAGTTTTAAGGGTTTTCTAAGTTTGGTATGTTAATTTGTCAGAATCTCGTCACCCCCAGAATCCGTTGGATCGACTAGCAGTTTAATGTGAGCTTCTGGAAATTTTTGGGGTAATATATTTTAAAATAATGACATTTTAATTTTATTTTAGGGGGTGTTTGGTATGATTTTTAAACCTGCCGCGATTGCCAAGACGTTTTGGCCGGTTTAGGTCAACGATGTAGGTGTGAATAGTTTGGGAAAAGACAGGAAATGGTTTAAGGACCTGGCTTCCTCATAATAGTAGCGGCTAGCATGAGGCAGGTATTCACCAAACCCTCTAGCAGCCTATCCTATCGTAGAGGAGTGCCACCTAATACCTGCGCTAATGTACATATAGAGAAAAATATAGCATATAATATATAACGCCAGCATTGCGAGGGTCGTTGGGAGATTCGGGATATCAAGAGCCTCCATCAGCATCTGCACTCCGAGCGTCGCTGGGAGACTTAGTACAAGTGTGTGCACAGAAAAATATAAAGAAACTGTTAATAATAAAAAATGATAAGAATCTGTCAATTCTTGATGAAATACGAAAGGATACTAAAATGTTTAAAGAAGCAGAAGCAGAACATAGCAGATTGGAAATTAAGAAGCTTTCTAATTAACGATTTGTTTGATCGTTATCTACAGGGGGATATACAGGAATAAATATAGTGTATAAAAATTTAAGGAAATACTATTTCTGAAACGCATTGCAGAGAGAGGTTAAAAAAATGTGAAGAGTTGCAATGATATCCAGGAATAAGCACTCGATCATGACGAACGAACCCCTCACTATCACATCGACAGCCACCAGTGTATTTGACACGATATTTATAGACCTGGTATGTTCACCTGAGATGGACGACAATGAGAACAGATATGTATTGACACTACAGTGCGAGTGAAGCAAATGCATAAAAGGATATGTAATACAAAACAAAGAAAGCGAAACAGTAGCCAAATCATTGTTGGAAAGTTCATTTTAAGGTATGGAGTACCCAGAAGAATAGTAACAGACCAAGGCACAGAGTTTATGGCAATAATATTTAAGAAAACATGCGCATTTGCTGCAAATATAGAAACTACCCTTCACAGCGCATCACGACGAGACAATTGGACATTTAGAGAATACTCAGAAGCATTTGAATGCGTACCTTATGATACAACTGATACAATTCCCCACAATTTGGAGCACGTGGGTACAATATTACTGTTTTCCGTACAACATATCCGGAAACTCGGCAACAGATAACACACCGTTCGAATTAGTATTCGGAAAAACCTACAAATGTATAGAACGAAGTGGAACCACTATACATATTTGACGATTATCCTTTGGAACTAAAATACGGATTGGTCAATATAATTCTACTTTACCTCATTTGGATATTTTCCTGGTTTTAAGAGCCAATCACAGTGCCTAAATAATAACAATTAACAAAAAGGTTGAATAATTATTAACACTAATGAAGCAACAGTCAACTTAACTACTACATTTCAGTGCTGTAAATTACTGCAAACGTTACACCTGTTTAAAGCTAAAGTTAACATGCAAAAGCTAGCAGCAGAGACATGCTTCATATATCTAAACACCTACGCTAGACTCTCCCCCTTCACTACAAGTAGCAGAATCTTTTCTCCTGCGTGGAGGAGGAACAGGAGACGAAGGATCTGATTTTCGTCTAAAGGGTTTACGTAACATTTTAACTATCTTCTGAGGCTCGAACCTACTACGTTTAGAAAGCGTACTTTGAGAACCATTACCCTAAAATTAGTACTGGTTAAACCTACACCAAATTATGTTATCATAACTACAAAACTACAATGATAATATGAATAATATGGATAAGCATCTAAAATATGAAATCTTTTTTAAATAAACCATTATTAAACTGCATGATGGTGTTGGTTAGTTTATAACGGTTTAACCTTAGATAAATCATCGAGCAAAAGATAAACGTAGTATAACCACCTTTACTACATTATGTTTTAATTTATTTTTTATCCAGAAATTGGCAATTTCAGGGACTTCAGGTGTGTATTTCGCAATACACACCATTCAAAAGCTTTCAGTCCTCTCATACTATTTATTTCTACAGTCAATGTTTATATTTCATACAATACCTATTATGAATAATTGAAATGTAAGTAAAATAGTTAAACAAAAGTGTCTACTGTTTATTTTTATTAGTATTGGAAAATGTTTGGTTTGTTCATGATTACTAGATAAAATAAGTAACAGGATAAGTAGAGAAATCAAAATATAAGTAAATAAGAACTCTATAGAATCTTTTTTTCAGAGTTGCGCCAAATGTAGGCAACTTACAGTTCCTCGTTGCGGTATTGCCAGTTTTAATTTTTTGTCATATTCATCAGTATAGTTCTTCCGTTTCATGAATTTTTTATATAAATTACGTACATCTTAATAATAAATTTTCTATTACTTAATGCACCACAAAATGCATTCATATGCTTTTGTAAGCGTAATATATGTCAAGGTATTAAATCTTGGACACGAACTCTTGCTTGTTGTAAATATTCATTTTGGTGATATAGATTGACTATGATGCCAATTGTTATTTTATGTATTCATTTTAATTCTCTTTCGGTCGCTTTTTATTGTTATTTCTTCTTCAGTGCCTTATCCGGTCCGCATGTTGGCGATCATGGTTTAGGACCTCAACGTTGGTGACACAGTCGACATACGACATTTATAGTATCCTTCTACAGATCCACGTGTCGAAGGCTTCGATCCGCTTTTCTGTGGCTTGCGTCAGTGTCTAAACTTCAACTCCATATAGTAATACTGGAAGAATGTAGCACTTCACTATCCGCATCTTGATTTCCAAACTGAGAAAGCGAGAACCGGGCCATGTCAATTCTGGATCTAATCTCTTGAGCGTGTCCCATTGTGAGTTGAGGGTAGTTCCGAGGTAAGTGAATCTATCGACTCACTGGATCTCTTCGCTACCCGCCATTAGTGTCCCGGGATCTAAATTTGCACGACTGGTAACCATGCATTTAGTTTTCTTAATATTAAGGTCTTGTCCATATGTTACGCTCGCAGTTCTCACTCGGTCTAGTAAGGCTTGTAGATCATTTAGGTTGGTTGCTAGTAACACAGTATCATTGGCGTAGCGGATATTATTGATGTATTCACCGTTCACTCGGATTCCTATCTCTAGGTGTGTGAGGGCTTTCGTAAAAATTTCCTCAGAGTATATATTGAAAAGAATCGGCGAGAGCACACAGCAACATTTCTTGTTATAGGCATTACATTTGTTTCATTATTTCTAGTAAAGCTTCAATAGTTTTAGCTATAATAAGTGTGACATCGTACCGCATGTTATTTACATGGATTCCGTTGAATTTAAAGCATTTTGGAAGTTTTAAAAAAACATTTTTGATTTGATCAAACTTTTTCTCTATTTATTTGTAAAGACTTCATACCCTTCATACTATAATATGATTTGTTTACTTACCTCTTCTGTATTACCATTGAATGAATTTTGACTATCTATGGAGAGATCACAAGCGGCGGGAGCTTCCTCGCAACCTAATTCATTTAAGGCACTTCTTATCAGTTCGGTTTGTTTGAGCATCTTCCTCTCTTGGCATTTTAATTCGTTTATTTCCTTTTTGGAAGTATCTATATTTATAATAGAAAGCCTAAAAAATAAAAAAATATTTAATCGACTTAAGAATTTAATAAAACATATAAATACAACAGCGAAAACGTTATTAACCCTCAACTGGCGTGGTGAATATTTTGTGCATAAACGGCGTTCTGACGTCTCGGGGACCGCGTATGTAATAATTAAAAACATGGATTATTGAAGAAGAAAAGATATTTTTTCATTTTTAATATATTATGTTAAATATAATTAACCATTGTATACAAAAACTTTTCAAGACAAAAAATTGTTTTGAAAATTTCTGTTAAAATATATTTTCTGAAAATGTTGCCATAAAAAACACGAGTAGACATTACTTGAAATAAATCATTAATAATAAGAAAAATTATTCGAAATTCATCTTCTTCTTAACGTGCCCTATCAAGTCCCCTTGACGTTGGCGATTAACATGGCGAAACTGTCTCTGTCTCGAGCTATTCTAAAGAGTTGCTCAGCTTTCCTTATTCCTGTCCACTCCCTGATATTCTTCAACCAAGAGGCCTGCTTTCTACCAATTCCTCTGCGTCCTTCGGTTTTACCCATCATAATTAGTTGAAGAATATTATATCGGTCTCCCCTTACTACGTGTCCAAAATAGGCCATCTTTCTACATTTGATGTTATCAAGCAGCTCGCGAGCAGCATTTGCTCTCTCAAGGACTGCCACATTTGTCAGCATAGCCGTTCATGGAATTTTTAGTAGTATACGTCTGTGCAGCCACATTTCAAAGGCCTCCAGACGATTATTGGTGGATATTTTTAATGTCCATGCTTCGACACCGTATAAGAGGACTGAGCAAATGTAGCATTTAACCATGCGCTTTCGAAGTTGAAGTTGCAAGTTATAATTAAAGAAGAATGACCTCATTTTTAAAAATGTCGTGCGGGCTATCTCGATTCTACATTTTATCTCTTGATCTGGATCTAGTTGTTCAGTAATATGGCAACCAAAATAATTAAAACTGGACACTCTCTGAATTATATGACCATCAACATATAATCGTGCATCTTGATGTACTAAATGGCTAAACACCATGTGTTTTGTTTTTGAAGTTTATGTTTAGGCCAAACTCTCTTCCCACTGTATCAATGGCATTTAAAAGGCATTGTAGTCCATTCATGTTATCACTTAAAATAACTGTATCGTCTGCATATCTGATTGTATTTATCAGAATTCCATTAACTTTCACGCCCCATTCCAAATTATGCAGCGCTTCTTTAAATATTTTATCTGAATATAAATTAAATAACATTGGGGATAGTATACAACCCTGTCTGACACCTCTTTGTATTTTACATATTTCTGTTAATTTTCCGTTTATGCAAGCTGTCGCTGTTTGACGCCACTATAACTTTTCTATGAATCGTATGTCTTGACTATCAACTTCTTTATCTTTTAATATTGTAATTAATTTGTGATGCTGTACTTGATCAAAGGCCTTTTCATAGTCAATAAATACAGCAAAGACGTATTTCCTTTGATATCGACATGTCTGCAGTAATACATTTAGTGCAAAGAGGGCGTCCCGAGTTCCCAGTCCATTTCTGAAGCCAAATTGTGTTTCATCCTGGCCTTCTTCACATTTATCTCTGATTCTACTGTGGATGATGCGCAGAAATATTTTCAAAGTGTGGCTCATAAAGCTTATGATTTTATAATCGCTACAGTTTTTCGGACGTTGTTTTTTTGGTACTGTTATGAATTCGGACTTTAACCAATCTTCAGGGATATCACCAGTCGAATAAACATCATTGAAAAGCTTGACCAGTATTCCAATGTTCTCCTCATTTATAAGCTTTAACATCTCTGTCGGTATGTTATCAGGGCCTTTCTTGTTCTTTTTTAACTTTATAGAATGGAGTATTTCTGATTTTAGTATTTCTGGTCCTTCACTTCAACTAAAGTCTCCAGTTCTTCGGGTCTATCATCATTATACAGTTCACTTATATAATTACACCAGGTTGTTCGAATTTCATGTTCGTCTATTATCATTTTTCCCGACGAATCGGTTATAGTATGTGGAGTTTTCTTATGATAAAGACCAGCTACTTCTCTAACTTTTTTAAACATATTAAACGTATCATGTTTTTCATTCAACTTTTCTACTTCCTTATTTGTGTGTTCCATATTTCTGTGTTGTTTTCATTTATTGGTTTATCATTGTTTAAGTCATTTTCTATTAATTTTGTTGGATATTGAGATATTTAATTTTGGTGTTTTGGGGCTTTCTTGGACTTTTTTGAGCTTCACTTTGAAATTCATACATATACAAAATGTTGAATGACAAATGAACATAAAATGCTACTTATGAAAGAAACAAACGAAATAAACTAAAAAACGTGCACACGTAATTTACGGGTCATTTTGCACTTCGCTTTCCGCACAATCTAGGCAAAATTTTTTAGAACACTCTAAACAAATAGGTCTTTTGCAAGAAAAACACAGATATGCAGTTTTCCTCTTCGTTTTTGGTCGACATATGAAGCAAGTTTTTCGATTTTCTCGTGTTAGTTTGTCGGATGAATCAGCATTAGTTTCATCATATGGCACATTTTTCTCCCCTAGAATACGACCGATTGACATTCAAAGTTCATGTGCTAGTCTTATATTATAAAACCGTTCTCTCATATATGGTTCAATCAACTGTTTAGCAAGAATCTTCATGAATTCCATCCTAGTAAGAATGTCTCTATCACGGTGTGATTGATGTATATTAAATGAATTTGTTGTACTCTACAGTTTTGATCCATTCAATCAACGCCACCTTTAGTGTTGTTATAAAATACATTTATTTCATCTTTCTCAGTAAACGGATCTGTTTCTATCGCATGATTAGCAGAAGAAAGAAATAAAACTGCCTTGTTTTTCTTCGGCACGTGTGAAGGAATTGTATAATCTGGTAAATCCATAAAGTGAAGAACTCAGATTTCTATTACGTGAGGTTAAAACTTCATTAGGAACTTCCCTTTTATTTTTTTTATTGTTCCCACAAGAATGAGACCGTTAGTTCTAAGAGTTTGTGCTAATTCCATTGATGTATACCAATTATCTGTAGTAACGTTACGGTTACTGCCAAATATTGGTTTGCACAATCTAATAACAGCTTGGGTTATTATTGGTTACCCTTACCACAATATAAATATGTGCTATAAATATAATATGTTTTGGCGTTGGCAAGACATTGCAATTTTAATCCAAATTTAGCCGGTTTTGATGGCATATACATTTTGAAGCGGCAATTTGTGAGCTTTGATTAATTTTTTCAAGTAATTCCGTTATTCCAACACCTGGGTTAGTTTTTTTCCGTTCTTGTCGATCAACTGAATCATCGAATCTCAAACAGTTGATAAGAGCGGAAAATCTTTTTGCAGATAAAGAATGTCTAAAAAATATCTTGTCCTGTTCCGTCTGTTGCAAACAAGGAGGCGATATCCGCATGGTTTGATTTAAACAGCTGTATAAATCAGTAAATCTAGAAGGCAATTCATTTCTTCAACTGTGACATTGCGGAGTTCCGTTCTTGAGGGATTTGAATACTTAGATCTGACATTTTCAAGTTTTTTATTTATCCACTTAATAAGCCCTTATGTCATATCTGCTGTAAATATAGATTTCCAGGCAACAATAGGCTCTACTTTTGCTGCTACTAAAGTGGAAGTTGTTATTTTTATGATATTATGGGCTGGTGTTCGTACATTTTTGTTAGGTGCAGTTGCCGACCATTTGAATCTATTTCGGCCATAAAAGTATTTTGGTTCTTTTCTGCCTTCAACATTTTCAGTATCAGAAGATGATTCTTCAGAACATGAATGTGTTGCTTGTGTGAGTCCATATCAAATAGGTAAAGAAATAATAATAAGACTTACTCACAATCAATTTAATTTAACAATCTGACGACCGGTTTCGCTTTCTATAATTTGCAAAGCATCTTCAGGTCGAGATACAAAGTTAAACTAATGCTGCAATAAAATAAACCCAATTAGGGTGGTGTCTCATAAAGATAAAATAAACAAATAAATAAATTAGTTCATACAAATTATAGTAATTATGCCAATATTACATGTCTGTGGTTTTCAAAATGAATAATTTGAATATATAAAAGGTAGTAACAGACAAGGTAAGGCCCACAATTGGTATAAAGTAGCAATCTTTTGTTGTAATAAATTAATAAATGAGCAAATAAATAAAACAAAACAAAACAAACATTACTTACATGCCGGTACTCTATTAATTGATGGATGGTAGGTCATGGTTGCAAAAATCATGTATTGTTGATTGGAGAACTTTAATGAGCTATTGCAGTTGTTTTTACAATAAACGGGAAGTTCTTGAGGAGAACAGATTTGATCCAATGAATTAGAGATAGGTATATTGTTGTTGTTTGTCAGATGAAAGTGATGTTCTTTACTATTGTATTAATTAAAGTATTATAGTAAAGAACATCACTTTCATCTGACAAACAACAACAATATACCTATCTCTAATTCATTGGATCAAATCTGTTCTCCTCAAGAACTTCCCGTTTATTGTAAAAACAACTGCAATAGCTCATTAAAGTTCTCCAATCAACAATACATGATTTTTGCAACCATGACCTACCATCCATCAATTAATAGAGTACCGGCATGTAAGTAATGTTTGTTTTGTTTTGTTTTATTTATTTGCTCATTTATTAATTTATTACAACAAAAGATTGCTACTTTATACCAATTGTGGGCCTTACCTTGTCTGTTACTACCTTTTATATATTCAAATTATTCATTTTGAAAACCACAGACATGTAATATTGGCATAATTACTATAATTTGTATGAACTAATTTATTTATTTGTTTATTTTATCTTTATGAGACACCACCCTAATTGGGTTTATTTTATTGCAGCATTAGTTTAACTTTGTATCTCGACCTGAAGATGCTTTGCAAATTATAGAAAGCGAAACCGGTCGTCAGATTGTTAAATTAAATTGATTGTGAGTAAGTCTTATTATTATTTCTTTACCTATTTGATTCTTCAGAAGTTTGAATTATACCTACTTCAACTGGATCCTCGTCAGCAGATTTCTCTGACTCGGTTTCGTGATCACTGAGTATATAATCAGCATCCTCCTGATCAGACAATTCCACATCAGAGTCAAGCGAATCAAATATTTCCATTACTTTCTTTTTAAAATTAGGATCATCATATCGGACTCATTTTGAAACAGGATACTTTGACATTTTTGACCACGAGAAACAAACAAAATTATTTTATTGAATATCTATTGAATTAAACGAAAAAAAGGTCGCCCAGTACAAACTTGGAGAAGATCCATCATGGACGAGATAAGAAAACAAGGAAAGTCTTGGAATGAGGTGAAGGCCTTAGCGCAAAATAGAACCCGATGGCGCGTTTTCACTGAAGCTCTATGCTCCACTTAGGAGTTCAAGAACCTTATATATATCTATTGAATAATAACTGTTAAGGGTTAATAAACTAACCACAGTTCCCTTCATTTGTCACTCTATCGACCTGGATTATGCGTAGCAACCTTTTATGTACCCATGTTTCGAAAGTTTAAGGTTTATTTAATAGAGATTTAGTAAGCGTCCAGCTTTAGACTCCATACAATAATGTAGAGAAGATGTAAGATTTGACGAGTCTTATTTTCAGGTTATCATTATTAGGTACTCTGTCCACATAATATTTTGTTTATTTGGAAGAACACTACTCTGTCCCATTCAATGCAAATCTTTATGTCTGTGTTAATATGCCAATTTACATTGTAAACAGTGATAATTTATGTTTTCAGTTTTTTTTCAGTGCCATATGCTGTAATTATGTTATTGTCTACCTGTGTTTTGCAGACTACTTTATTGATACATTTAGTTTGCAAAGTATTGTTTTAAGCCATATTCTTCGCATTATCGTTGAGCATAATCTTTTGAGAACGATTTCAGATAAATGACAAATTTTGAAAAGAAAACTACATAAAAAACCCAACAACTAAAGAATATATTAAATCCACCCGGTAGAGAATAGTAACGTCAATGGTCAAAATAATTAAATTTATTTTATTATCTATTTTCAACCTTCAACGTAGTCATTGAACCGTTTAATCAGTTTACGCTGCATACCACATTTATTATACCTTTAATGATCTATGGAAAAGCATTATTTTAGAATAAGATAAACTATCTTTTATGAAAAGGTTCTGAAACTGTTTTCTTGTGGCATATCGTTCTTGAAGATGTAATTAAAAACATTTTATTGTAGGATATTTACGAAATATTTTAAGGCACATTTAATTTGAAATTTTGCGCTTTTAGAAAATGAGTATTGTTACCATGCTCATTGTTTAATACGTGTGTTAAAAAAGTCATTTTTGAAAAATTCCGGGTTTACAATAATAATTCTTGTATTCCAAAATGGAACGTTGACCTTTTAAAGGGGCAAACAAAGTAGAGGCAGTTAGAATTTGTTGCCGGTTGTTCTATGTTTTATTACAAATATATGTTAAACTGGTGAATGGCTTTAAAATAAATCTTCCTTAGGTCTTCCTTCCTTTCCTCCCTGAAAGAAAGTTATTCTGTTACCAAAATGGGAAAAAAACAAAGAAACAACAGATTTATATAAAACACTTAGGCATCTGAATTAATGGCTGAAAATAAACAATTTGAGCTTTGCGGATTACTCTCCGTCTTGCTGGCGTCAAATAAATTTCACACTACGAAGGAACCAGTGTACGGTAGTGTAGTGAACTAGGAATGATCAAGTGCAAAGGTTAGGGAGAAAAAACAGGCTAGAAAAAGGGATGATAGGTCTAAAAGAGAGAAAGAGAAAGGGAAACAAAGCGCGCTGTACCTACTGCTAAGGAAATATAGTCTACAAAGCTGTATAAGGGGTTGGAAATACATGAGGGGATGAAAGAGTTATACACACAAAAGGAATCAAAGCTTGACCCACGTGCGTCAAATTAAGAGTAAGGATGGAAGAGTATTAAGATCCGATGTTAAAATAAATGAAAGATGTTGTGAGTATTTCAGAAAGTTGCTAAATGGAGAACATTAAGGAAGAGACAGGACATTACAGGACCCCAAATGAGAGTGTAATACCGGGGATAACGAGAAATGAGGTAGTCGAGGATGATAGCTGATAGAATACCTGTGGAGGTTTGAAAGGCTATAGGTGAGGAAAGGGTTAATGTGTTGTGGCAAATGATGAGTAATAAGGAAGAGCGTGATAGTATCACTGGATAAAAATGTAGGGGACATTCAAGACTGTAAAAACTATAGGGATAAAGTTAATGTAGCACACAAATAAAAGAGAGCTACATTTGGTATTTGAAGATCTTGAGAAGGCGTACGACACAGTTCGTCGACAAGAGCTATGAAGATGTATGAGAGAGAAATGGACTCTTGAAAAGTACGTAAGGTTCGTGAAGGATAGGTATAAGAGAGCTTACACCAAAGTAGGGACTTCTGTCGGATTGACCGAAAGTTTTCCAGTAACAGTTTGTATCAAGATTCTGCACCCGAGTCCTTACCTGTTTAATCTTGGTATGGATGTACTGACAGAGAAGGTAAGGGACGGGGCTCCTTGGTCAATGCTGGTTGCAGATACTATCTTATTAGTGAAGGAGAGGAAAGAAATGTTAAAGAAGTTGGAGGGTTGGTGAAAGGTTATTGAAGAGGGAACTCTTGAGGTTAGCAGGTCAAAATGGAATATATTTGTTGGGGAGGAACAGGAATAAGGGAATTTAAATATATTGGCTTCTACATAACGGAAAATGGGACCCTAGATCGAAAAATTGTCCATAGGATACAGACTTGTTAGTTTAACTGGAAGCGAATAAGCGGGCTACTCTCTGATCGAAAAATCGGCGAAGGGCTGAAAGAAAAAAAATATACAAGAGTGTGCTGAGGCGTTGTTGTTCTTCTTCTTAAGTTCCATCTCATATCGGAAGTTGGATATCATAACGGCTATGGTCACTTTGTTGGCTGCTGCTCTGAAAAGTTGTAGTGAACTACAGTTAAACGATCCTCTAAGGTTCCTCAGCCAGGAGATACGTCTTCTTCCTATGCTTCTTCTTCCTTGGATCCTTCCTTGCATAATAATTCTCAGCAGCTCATATTTTTATCCTCTGGTTATGTGACCCAAATACTCTAGTTTTCTTCTTTTTATGCTGTTCATAATTTCTAACTCCTTATTTAGACGTCGTAGTACCTCAGCATTGGTAATCCTTTGAACCCACTGAATTTTTAATATTCTTCTGTAACACCACATTTCGAACGCTTCTATTTTTCTTATGTGTTGTTTCTTCAATGTCCAAGCTTCCATTCCAAGGCGTTGTTGTACGACGGTGAATAAAGAGGGTTCAGGAAAAGAAGATGGAAATACCTAGCTGAAATGAAAATGTTACGGTGGATGTTGGGTAAGAGTAGAAAAAACATGAGCAGGAACGACGGGGAAAGCGCTGGGGTGACTACAGTCTCAAAAAAGGTTCAACTACAAAGACTGCAATGTTTGGTTGGAAGGATGATAGAGCTGTTAGAATTTGATAAAAAGAGAGGCAGAGGAAAATCGAGGAGAAGATGGAATGGATCCATGTGAACAGTGGATTTATGTCTTTTCATATATTTATTATTTATTTACCTCAATGTTTTTGATAAATTGTTCTCGGATCTCTATTGCTTACAACACCAAATGTGTTCACCTGAATTGCAACTTACCAACTTTGTTCATTGCAGTTCTGTGGAAAATACTACAAGAAATTTAGTGTATTTATACATAATTTAACAAATTTACCTATTACTAGCTTCGTTGCTCGTCGTTTTCCCATTCACCAAACTATCAGTACTTGTGATGGACGTACGTTTTTCTTGAATTTCTTTAATATTCGTTTCCAAATCGCTTAGTTTAGTTCTCAGCCACTCTACGGTTAAATTATCGACTGTTAGTTGATTAGGTAACAGTTTTCCAGCAGAATCTTCGACGAGGCTTTCGTCAAATATAAATTTTACTGGTTCTTGAGGCGTTGTTCTGAAAAACAAAATTTGTTAATAAAAATTCATGGAGGTAACTACCATTTAAGTTAACTAAAATTAAAATACCACAAGTACAGAGACCATTTACTATCAAGTAAATGATATGGCGATTTTAAGTTCTACGACACGTAAGAAACCTAAAGCAAATAACAACTCATCGTAGTGTTTAAAGAAAAAACAAATATGTAAAATGAAATCAGACATCAGACGCATGATAAACTGCCAGAACAAAACAAACGATAATGTTGGAAAACCAATTATAATTTTATAAATTTGTATTATTTTAAATGAAACTATTACTACCCCTATAAATTGCCAGATGTCCGAATACCTTATGTTGTCAAAGGCTACTGACATTCAAGTAGCTTCCGCTTCCACAAAAAATCACTTTCCGCCTTCCGCGCCCAGATAGTCTCAAAAAAGTATCTCAAGTAAGTACATCGCTCTCAGCGTTTGTTCTCCAGCACACAAAAAATTTTAGTTTGCTCTCTTTCTCACGCTCCGTAGTATCGTTGATTGAAGGGTTATTCAATCAACGGTAGTATATAATAATACAGTAATTTTAAACAAGTGTTTAGTTGTGTATTAGTTTCAAAAATCGGTAAGGAAAAGTGCAGTGCAAAGTAAGTCTGTGTTTCCGTTTAAAATATGGCGTTCGCGTGCTGACAAACTTCAAAGGCGGCATCTGAGAGTGGGCATTATGATTGTTATTTATTGTGTGGTATAATAATCACAAAAATGTAATCATCATTATATTGAGAATTTTAGAATTGTATTGATTAAATAACCAAAAAAAACTCCGCCTGGGTTGTCAGATAAGTGGATTGAGTAGCTCATCGGATGACACTGCCGGTCCCAAGCCCGGATAAAGGAGGAGGGTCCCCATGGCAAGGCTAGCCACCTACCTGGGGTAAAGAAACCCATATTGGCTCACAGAACTGAAGATTCAGCCTCGGATACCGGACGGAAATATCAGATGACGACACACGCTATGACAATGGAAAAACGAATTGGTAAACGAAAACCTAAAGACCCCATCACACGAATCGCGTGCTGGAACATTACGTCGTGGAACGGAAGAGACCAGTAGATCATAATAGAAATGAATAAACACAATATTGACATCTGCGGAATCTCCGAAACAAAGAAAAAAGGCCAAGGAACATCAAAATACGGAAAATTTGTACTCATATACAGCGGGAAAGCTAAACAAGAAAGAGCGCATTCAGGAGTTGGAATTTTGCTGCACGATAAATACACGCAAAACATCGAAGATATCGAATACATCAACGATAGATTATTAAAAATCTCTATAAAAATTCGTAACATCACAACACACCTGATAAGCACGTATGCCCCAGACATATCTAAGCCTACAGCAGAAACTGAAAATTTCTATCAGCAACTACAATACGTCGTAGATAACATAAATACGAAACACAAAATTATCGTACTCGGGGATCTTAATGCACGGATCGGAAACGTTGTCATACCAGGTATAAAACAAAAGTACAACGAAGAAATAATTAATGAAAACGGCGAAGCACTAATAGACTTTTGCGCTAGAAATGAAATGAGAATCAACAATACATACTTTCCTCATAAAGACCAACATAAATACACTTTTAACAATAATCGAGGCTAGCGATCAATGATAGATTTTATAATCACAAATCGAGCGATAACTTCGTCACAAGTACTTGATGTCAGAGCACTAACATCTGCTAACCTGGGGACTGATCATAACCTTGTTTTATTCAAGATATACATATATTCAAGATTATAGATACAACCATGTAAGACGAATGGATGAGAATAGACTCCCAAAAATTGCCCTAGAAAACAATCCGCCCGGTTCAAGACCCCCGGAAGACCACCTAAAAGATGAAGGGATAGTTGGCAATCTACCTCCCAAGAAATTAACCAGAGGCAGCTTCAGAATTAAACAGATCGAAAGATCTACAAAAAGTAGAAGAAGAAGAAGAAATAACCAAAAACATTTGTTATTATTAATAATATAAGTTTTATAAAATAACTCTTTAAGTCTAATATTATACAAAATAATGATTGTAATTAAATATATTACATAATTGTACGCAACTGATATTCTCACACAATAATTGTATTTATAAATACATATGCAATTTAGATTAATAGCTTTAAAAACTAATTATTGTTGTGTATTGTGATTGTGCTATGCCAAAACTACTAAATAGTCTTGTAGAAAGCTGATAAGCTTTCATACAAGATAGATTATTTTGAACAAGAAATAATGGCGGCACGTTTTTACTATTGATGCTCTAAAAGAGGTAAGTTTAAAATTTAGAATATATAATTTTGTATTAAAATGTTTTCTCATGGATTTTAGTGTGTTGCAGTAGTCTTAAAACTAAGTTCAATATCACAAGAGATAGAATCAGCAACGGAATTAGCAACCTACAACCAAAATGCTGTGAATAAATCCATTTTGACAGTTAGGCACAATGGTTTGACGCCCAACAGGAAATTCGTGGAGAAACGCCCATTTTTTCTTTAGACAATCTTTAATAAAATATATCAACAATAATATATCAACAATAACGGATTAAGAAACTCTAAGACACTCGTCTTCATACACAATACATATGAAACACACAACACTCGTACACAATACATGAACAGTTTCTCTAACCCAAACGCATATAGAACATATTAATAATGCAGAACACTCAAAATAATCAGAATTTGAAAAACCATAAGGCAAAAATCTACCCCGTAATTTAAGCAGGAAATATATCTAGTTACGTCGGAAGATTATTAATTTTCATATAACTGAAAAAGAAGTATTCACTGTAAATAAAATTCATAAGAAATTTGTGGAAGAATTTGTGTATAAAACAGGCAAAGAAGTATACGTTTGAAAATTAGGAATCTCGAATTTATGTTGAACAAAAACAACGAATAATCGAAAACTTTTAATGGAAAACATAAATAATATAGGACATCTACGATAAAGGCTGATTTATAAACTTTACGTTGGCGTTGGCGTTGACGTTTGCGTTACAACATGGTCAAATGGGAAACTCGTATATCTATTTATAAACATCGTTCGCCGTTGGCGTCGGCGTTCGGTTCCGTTCAAGATGAACCAACTTTATCTTTTGCCGTTGGCCGTTGTAGCACAGAATACACCAACCTTTCTGTGGTTGTACTCCATCGAGCAAAAAGATAAAAGAGGGAATCTAATCGTTATGAAAAGGAGACCAAAAAAGTGGCCTCTGATGGCGGACATATCCGGAAATGCAAAGGCGCTAAATTTAAATTTTCCAACACTTGTTAACAATACCTGTAAAATATTTTTCAGACAAGAAAGTTTTAATTAAATATTAACGATAATAGTCTAAAAAGTGACATAATTGGTAAAAAAACTTCAATATAAATAAAATTTCATGTGACAGTTGGGACAAACAATAACATAACCAAACTAAATTTGACTTCTTAAACAAGGAAAGAGACTGTCTTTCCTTGTTTAAAGTGGCCTCTCAAGATAGCACTTCCTGTCTAACAATATTTTTGTCCCCACTACCTTTACATTCCCTCTTTTATCTTTTTGCTCGATGTTGTACTCACGATCACAGAACATAAAAAAAAACTACATCTTTGTCATCACAGCCAATAGCAATACCGAAAAGGTGACAAGGTTTGTCAAACAAATCAAACTAAAAATTATTTGTTTATGTTTGTGTTTCCACGTGTTTATAAAGTGGAAGAGTTTAGATAATAACAAGCCTCTCTTTAACAGAAATTCCATCAGAGCGATAGTTTACATTTATTTTTGGTTTTACCATTTGCAGTCATTTTTCAAATACTGGAACCTGCATCCTGGTATATTTAAAAAACTGCTGGGTATCCCAGTTTTTCATATTTTTATAATAATTAAAATTACCTTTTGGCTTTCTGTACTGGTTAATGAACCTCTGTTTATATCTACGTTGTCTTTTATTTCGAAGGCTCAGTGCTGCTCGAATACAAAGTATCAGTGCCACTGCACCTAACAAAGGCCGAGCATTTTCATTTTCCATTGTATTAATTTTCATGCATATAATACCAAATCAAAAATGTAAAGTAATTTAGATGTGATCTTAAACGCCAACGCCAACCGAAAGTTTATAAATCAGCCTTTACAGTATTTAAGACAGATTAAACAATTTAGAAAGGAAAAAAAAACATTTTTTGTGTTTACTGATGCAACGTATTTACTTTCAAGTCATCTATCCATCGTCGGTAGTTCTTCATAGACCTTTATGATCCAAAATGTTCTTTAGAATAGTCCTCTATTCCGTCCTATTTCTAGCAACTATATATCCCTTAACTATGATAGATTTTAAGTTATCTTGTTAGTTGTCCAGATACCTAAGTTTTGGTCTAACTTTCAAGCCATAGTCTCATAGTCTCAGTAATAGTTGGACTGATGGAACAAACAGTGGGCTTAAAAAACTCATCTCCAAGAGCCAACATTTGATTATTGTAGGTGGAGGAAACGAGGCGTTTTGGCGGTGAATTTTATGTTAGATGGATGTCCCAAACAAAATTGGGTGATTTCTATTATCATATAAATTTTGCAAACCATAAATAATTCGAAGAAAGAAAGACGGAAAGTTTTATGAAATCTAGTGCATAAAACTTCTATATGAGTCACCAGTAGCTAAATATCGTAGGGTTAACATGAACCTTTCTGTTGGCAATATTGCTTCCCTAAACTTTGTATCTTTTTTCGCGAGTTTTGGACCAAAAATAAGTAGACTTCATTCTACAAAAAATTTGAAAAAGCCCGTATTTCAATTCAGTTTTTAGATCATTAAATAAGTCTATCTCTCTATACTGGCTTCTGATTTTGAACAATGATGTTGTTCACCAGAGCCGTTTTCGTCGTTTTTTGGGGAGGTCTTTTACTGCTTCAGCCTCCGCCTCACTAATAATAATATACAACGTACTTGAAATAATTATATCCTCATCCGATGTCATTTTTAACAATTTACATCAAATAAATAACTGCCACGTAACGAATTGACAAAATTACCCGCGAAACTGATCGAATGACTGCAAACGAATTCGTTTGCTTTAATATATACCAAAGACCAAGTTTTCCATCGAACGTCGACAACATCGAATGAATTCAGTCGAAGAGATTCGGTCACATGCGGCGATCGCGTCCACGATGGCAATGACGGTCTCGGTTTCTGTAGAAAGTGAACACATCGGACCGATAGCGACCTGCGATTTCAAATACAATTGGAAATATAGTTAATAAAATGTCCGATTTATAAGAAGAAAAAGGATTGCAAAAATGTAATAATGCGCAAGGTATGCGCAGACAATTTAATTTTTCCATTTACAAATGCAGATATTTATGTTTTGGAGAAAAAAAAGATATTGTTGGGTACATTTGGAATAACATTAACCTACAGCCCAAGAAAACAAGGAGAATTTCATAAATTGTACCCAGAACTTCGCAAAGATGAGAACCGTCTCTATACATATATTAGAACGAATTTTGAAAGTTTTGATGAAATTTTAGATCAGACAAATACGTACAAATAATTATTATTAATACCTATGTACGTTCTTGTAATCTGGGTTGGACATGTCGAACAATATATCATATTTTTTACAATTTTAATAAGTTTTTCGATATCCATTTTTATTTGCATCGACGCGATCAGCGATAAACTATTTGTGCAGCTACTCAGAACGCTGCACAAATTTCGAAATTCCTTTGATCGCCAGCAGGTCGCGACCAGTATGTGCTGCTTCCATCGAGTTAGAATCTATGGAGAGGGCATCACGTGACTAAAAACGACCTAACTTCGGCCATATTGGTATTATTGTTTTGAAACTTTTAACAGATCGTATATGTTTGGTCATATTTGTTGTTTTTCGAATATTTTCAGTTTTATAATAATTTTATAGAAACTGTAATATATTGTGATAGTGCATAATAATGGTTTCTTGTTCTCAACGTAGTTGCAGTAGCAGAAGTAATGTTAATAAAAAATCTTCAGGAATATCGTTTCACAGGTTAGTATACAAATATGTAAACAAAGTAATGGGCCGTACTTCAGAGAATAAATTAATACTATTTGACTGTATTAATTTATCTTTATATATAATATATCGTGTTTTTAGTGTTTACCGCGGGATAAATAAATCATAGTTTATTAAAAATGTATTGCACTTTCTTAGATTATAATTAAATCTTCTGAATAATTAGCCGTATTTGTATAGTAGTTTTATTATTATTGAGTCTGGCCCTGATGTCACCCCCATATTGGTATTATAGTTAGCCACTCCTACTTATGCCGTTTTTAATACATACGTTAATATGCTCATAGCTTCTTCATAGATTCTAACTCGATGGCTGCTTCACTTGTTTGTTTGAGACGGGAGATGGGTCAAATCGCGTTCGCCATCGTGAACGCCATCGCGTCGTGATCACTAAGGTGTGTTTTCCGAATAAGACTTTAATTTTTTATGTTACTGTAAACAATATGCAAATGGATATGATTTGATAACGAATAAAAAGACCTATTATCTGAACCATATTATTACGCTATAAAAGACATTACCAATAATAGCGAAATAAAATGTCAGATGACTAACATTATTAGTCACAGCAAGAATGAATAACTTGAAAATATTGGTTTTATTTTATCTAACATGAAGATATATATTGCTGTGCAGTGAAGCAAACCATCAATATTAGTGTTTATAGAGAGTAGAAAGGTCAAAAATATGTAGTTAATAATTTTGAAAAAAAAATGATACATAGGTCTGGCTTATGGAATGAGAGCCAAAGATGGAATTAGGAAGAAGGAAAGATTCTGGGGCACAACTCAAAATACTTACTTGTGTTTTTCGGTGAAATCATTATATTCCTCGGAAGGCTTAAGACTTTCAATACTATTTTCTATTTTTCTTTGAATTTCTTTGAACTTCTCAGAAGTTAAATCCGAATTAGTGGCAACGTCATGTAAAATCTGTTTCCTACAACAAATTAACTATTGAGATTATATAAATAACAAAAGTAAGTCTACATATTTGGTGAACTTACATGGGTCCCAGATTAAGTAAATAAGCAAAGTAAGAAACAGAATACCTGCTCCAACAAATCGTGAGCAGCTTCGGTTGGCGCTCATAGAAGAATAGCTTTTCCTCAAGGCAATATGCAGAATTTGATCAACTTAATGCCAAGTCGAATGAGGAGTGTAATTCAAAATAAAAGTGGTATTACAGATTATTAAAAATCACGACTGTATTGTAATTTTTATAAAAAAAAAAGCAGAAAAAATTTACAATATTAATTTTTAAAATTTTCCATTAAAATCATCATTTTGGGAAAAGCTTTTTCTCGACATTTGTTATTCAAGAAATGGTTGCATATTGCTTTAGAACATATTTTTAAACATTATACAAATATCGTTAATGCCATTAAGGTTAATGCCATAGGTTGACCAATTTGTAGTTTTACTAATAGTAAATAATAAATACCAAGTAATACCAATTTGGCATTAACGTTAATGGCAACAAGTTAAACCACCTCAGATTCGCTGACGACATAGTGATTATAGTGAGCACATTCGAGGAACTGCAAATTATGTTGGGGGAACTAGCAGCCAGCTCCCAATACGTCGGCCTAAAAATGAATATGAAAAAAAACAAAAATAATGACAAACACAGAAGACCCCAGACATATAACTATAAACGGCAGTGAGATAGAACAAATCCAGGAATCTACCTAGGCCAAATCCTGAGACTTGACAAAGAGAACCAAAGTGCGGAAATTACTAGAAGAGCAAGACTAGCATGGGCAGGATTTGGAAAACTTAGTTGGATACTTAAGAACCGCAAAATACCCCAATACTTGAGGAGCAAAGTGTTCAACCAATGCATCCTTCCTATCATGACATATGGATGTCAAACCTGGACCCTAACCAAGGCAAACAGGAATAAACTAGCCACAACAGAAAGAACAATGGAAAGAGCAATGTTAAGTATACGACTGTCAGATAAAAAGAGGAACGACTGGGTAAGATCCAAAACAAAAGTCGAGGACATAACAATAAAAATTGCAAAACTTAAATGGAGCTTTACAGGCCACACTGCTAGACAGAAAGACCAACGTTGGAATACTACAATACAACATTGGAGACCTTACGAAAGTAAACGACCAAGAGGAAGACCACAGATGAGATGGGTTGATGACATTAGAAGAATAGCCGGAACAAATTGGAAATATGTTGCTCAGGATAAAGACCGATGGAAGGAGTTGGGAGAGGCCTATGTCCAAACATGGACGACAGAAGGCTAAGAAGAAGAAGATAAAAAAGATAATCCTATTTTTACCAAAGAGAGTTTGGAAATACAGTAAAGTTTAGACGAAAAAACTGTGGTTATTCTGCAAGCTCACTCCTGGGTGTGAGATACCCATCCAGACACTTAGCTTAATGTAGCATGAGCAGCAGTAGTTCAATATTGATGCCATTATGCAGCTTCATGTAAATTCAGTCTGTACTCTGCCATGGCTGAGTTTGTAGTTGCGGTCTCATTTGAGCGATGTATCCAATCACAAAAAATTAACGCGCTAGGGTATGTAGCACCCATGTGTGAGGTTTGTGATAATTTATTAATTTTCCTTATAATTACTTTTCAGTGAAATTGCTTTATATAGTTGAAAAGAAAACTGGTAAAAACGTCGTCCATTACCCCAAGGTGAAGTGGAAAGGGAAGTCGAAAATTTATTTGCTAAGGAAAACAACGGGGATGATGGTGAAGATATCTTTGGTGCCGAATCCGAATCTGACGAAGATTACGTCGAAGAATACAACTCCAATACCAATACTGATGAAAATGAACAAAGTGATAGTCAAGTAGATCATGAACCAGTTAGAAATATTGCTAGTTTACATGAAAAAGATGGGCATCGCTGGTCTACAGAACAATCATCAAGGCGTCATCGTGTAGCAGCCAGAAATATTGTTACGCATTTACCAAGCCCCAAATGAAAAGCCAGGATTCTTCAGTCGCCTGAAGAAGTCTGGAACTCACTGCTTAAGGATCAAATGTTAGATATTATCGTCCTTTAAACAAATTAAGAAATCATTCACAAAAGTGAAATTACTGCTATGCAAAGTTACAACAGATTGACAAATTAAACAGAAATGAAAGCCCTTATTGGGTTATTGTTATTAACTGCTGCATTAAAAAATTTCTAATTCTAACGTTGATGAACTTTAATCCCAACAATTTGGAAATGGAATATTTCGTGTTACGATGTTGCGGCAGAGATTTCAATTTCTAGTTGCATGCCTAAGGCTTGATGATAAAGAAACAAGAACAATAAGGAAAACAGCAGCTAAATTTGCATCCATACGCGAATAATAAAGATAATGACGACTCTTCTTCGTCGAATTCCATCTTCTATCGAAGGTTGGAAATCATCATGACTATGCGGACCCTGTTGACTACCACTTCAGCACTACTGCATTCAACCATTCCCTCAAGTTTAAACTCAAATAATAACGATGAATAACTCTAAAACATTTTATACGGTTAACACTATTCCATAAGTCCAAACACATGATAATGAGTCAGTACCAGCTTTTTATGTTCGAAAATTGTCGGAACAAATAGTGGAACCAACCGAAATACGACAGTAAAAAACTGGTTCACTTCAGTACCTCTGGCTGATCAAATGAGGCAAATCAAACTAACTATCTTGGGAACACCGAGAAAAAATAAACGAGAAATTCCTCCGTCCTTTCTCGGTAAAAAAGAAGTAGCTATCATTATATGACGAAAATAAAACTATTCTCTCAAACACTACAAAGCCCAGAAAAGTTGTTCTTTTTCTGTCAAAATTACATCACAATAATTCGTTAAATGCTGTTACGGAAAAACCAAACCCCATACACACCCATAATAAATTAAAAGGAGGTACAGATACGTTTGACCAACTATGCCATTCTTATACTGCATCACGAAAATCCAAACGATGCGATGACCACTAAGAATTTTTTTCATGCTTGATGCAAGTGGTATAATGCAATGCTGCGATTTTCTCTCGCAATTCCCCAGTCGAAAGAAAATACATCTAATAATAGAAGATCATTTCAAAAATATTTAGGAATGGCTTTAATTAGGGTAAACTGTGCAAATACCGGTCAGTGGGTAATGGCGGTCATCCCGATTGTGCGAAATCTATTCAATCTGGCAACCTCCTATAACTGCCAACGTGTCGCTACACTACTCTGTATTCAGATTGCTGACGAGCGTTGAGTTGGCGCAAACCATTGTCATAGAAATATTATTTACCTGTTTTCAGTGTTTTCGATCTTATTTTTATGCTGAGTAGTATAAGGTCTTAATTCATTTTTATTCACTTGTAGATCTTAAAATTGGTTACAATTGATTATAATGACGTTAGCTGCCTATTCCTTTTTTAAAGATCAATATTTTAATACATGTTTACGAGTAAAAAATTCTAAGAAAAAAAATGTCAACAGGAGGCAATGCCAGTCAGTTGACCGGTATTACCCCCATGCTATAATTTATACCCTATACTATTAATCCTTAGGGATTAATCCATCCATTTTTCGACATTGCAAGAAAGAATAAAAAATAAAAATCTTCAAGGTGTCTCATTAGGTAGAAAATCAGTATTTTCTGCCGAACAAGAAGCTAAAATAGCCACACAAAAAAAATATTTGGCTTAATTTTTTATGGCGTAACAGCAATAGAACTGAGAAACTTAGCATTTGGGTTTACAAGATAATTTTTCTTGTAATAAAACACCTTTTTCTTGTAATTGGCATTACAAGAAAAAGGTGTTTGATTCTAGTTCTTTGGAATCGGATATTGATATATCATGTGATAACAGTGACGATGCATACGAAGATAGATGCCTGGTTTACAACGAGTTTGGCAAAAAACAATGAATTGTGGTATATATTTACCGTTTGCTTACGATGGGCTTATTCAGAGTGCAGTGGATGGGATTCTGCAGAGAGTTATACCTGCGATGACTGTCAACTATTTTTACATTAAAACACATATTTTTGTTATTTTTTGTTTGTTTTGTAATAAAAAATATTTTTTCACCTTTCTTACTGATTTACTTGAATTATGACCCATTAAGCCACATTCGTTAATCGTTTTATAACAAAAAAATGTTAAATAGATATTGATTTTTATTTTAATAATAACACAAACAAATTGACTGGCATTACCCACACTCATGACCGGTATTGTCCATGTATGGTGACAATACCGGTCAAAGATACTTTTTTATGTTTTGTCCCTGTCAAAGACAAAAATTTTATATTTTTGAAATTAAATGTATCTTGCAATAAGTTAAAACCCCAAATTACGGATTGACGGCTTAAATTTGATTCACAGAGTTTTACTTTTTTTTATATTAAATTTTCTTCTTAGGTGACCGCGATTTGCACACTTTACCCTAAACTACTAATGAGAGAGACTTCAATTTAGCTTCTTAACACAAAACACTCAGGCAAAAAATGCATTCTTTAAGTTGAACCTTCCAATATAACATTCTACAAGTTTAGTAAAGCAAACTATTAGGTGTTATTTCTGCAAAATAAAAGATAGAAAAACGAAGCATGAATATTCAGTTTACCATAAAGGATACTGCATGCAGCATAGAGCTAAACCAGAGAACTACGAACGCAGAGAAGCGACACTCCTTTGATCTTGCGTGGGCAAGCCGCCAACGAGTGAAAATGACAGGAAAGCACCTTATTTTTTAATAGTCAGTGGGCATATTACACAATATAAATTCTTAAATAAAAGTGAGCATTTATGTTGACTTTCAATAAATATGAAATATTGCACTGAAAAAATAATTACATGCAGAGCCGGCTTTTGTTGACATTCTAAATGGTGTAATTATTTTTGATTTACAAAAGGTTGCAAATACATCGCACAACGCAAAGTAATGGTGAAAATCGAATTGATGGAACCATAGA